TATATAAAATAACTTCTTTTCATCACAATAATTTTTTTTCCAATTAGAAGAAGAAACTTATTAAAAAATCACATTAAAAATTAAAAATTCAGGAAATATAAACAAGTTGTTTATCATTTTAAAAGATGTTTAATTATATATTTGATCATTATATTTTGATTCAATTTAACTTTTTTATTTATTTTTTATTCAATTTATTCTTTTACTTTTCAAAACGATCTAATTTGATAATTTTCATAAATTGATGTTAACGTGATTTATGTACACCTAAAGTGTAGTAGAATTTTTAAATTCTTTTAATTTTATAATTTTATAATTTTTAAATTTTTAAATTTTTACTTTTTTAAAAGATATAAACTATTACATATCAAGTTATGATTGAGTCATTTGACAAAGATAATATCACATGTCATTATTTTTTTTTATATTTAAAATTTTCATTTAATTTAATTTTTATATTTTAAAAAATAAACAATCCAGTCTATTTTCAATTTGAGATTATACTAAAAATTAAATTTAAATACAACTTATATATACATTTTTTTAAATATATATATATATATATATATATATATATTAAATCACTTCATCTAAATACTTAAATTACTTTATTTTTTACTTTTTTAAAAAATAAAATAATTTAAATATATAAATTGTAAATAAATTAAAATAATTTAAATATATAAGTTGTGATTTGAATAAAATCACTTGATTTATAAATTCTAAAAAATAATTTTAATGTGATGAAATTTAATAATTAATTTAGTAAATTGTTTAATTTTTCAAAATTGAAAAAAATCAAAATTTTAAATACATAAATTAAATTGAAAACAATTACTATCAATAAAACTGACACATGATATTTTATATTTCAAGAAAATTAAAAATAATTAAAAATTTTATAAATAAACTGGTAACATGTATGACATCAACTTAAAAAAAAATTAAAACGTTTTAAAAATTAAAAAAAACTAAATTAAATAAAAAAATTATATCAACCAAACAAATATACTACAACACTAAAGATATAATCAAACTTTAAAAAATTAGGTTAATTGGTTAATTACCTTTCCGTGTAGAAATGGTAGAGGGCCAAAATCTGCCGCCCACATAGAAGAAAAAACAAACAGAAAGCGAGGGCATTATGGTAATTCCGACCAACCCTCCTAATAATAACACCGAGCTGCTAGCATTAGCAGCACATTACTAACTACACTGTCTTGAGCTTTACTCAAATGACTAACATCAACAACAGTGATGCAACATTAACTCATTGATTGCTCTTGTCTTTCTTCCTTGCTCTTCATCCTCCAACTCCATACACTCACACCAACCTCTTTCACTTCCCAAAGGTAAGATTTGTGTTTCACTTTGTTTGGGATCAGCATTTTGAGTGGCATGTTGGAGCCAAGATTCAGTGGTGTCCTTTTCCTGTGGCTTTTGTGTGGAACTTTGGTTCCAATGGCGGAATCAGCCATAGGGGTCAACTGGGGTACCATTTCTTCCCACAGGCTAAAGCCAACCACTGTGGTTGATCTGCTGAGGGACAACAAGATCTCAAAAGTGAAGCTTTTTGAGGCAGACTCTGATGTGTTGAGGGCTCTCATGGGGAGTGGCATTCAGGTAATGGTGGGGATCCCCAATGAGATGCTGCCCCTCTTGAGTTCCTCCTCTGCTTCTGCTGATTTGTGGGTTAGACAGAATGTTTCTGCTTATGTGGGTAGAGGGGGTGCTGATATCAGGTGCAAATCTAATATTTTTCTGTTTCAAAATCTGATCTTTTTGTTTGTTAGTTACCTTGAGAATGTCTGAGATTTACTTCCAAGTGGTGATTATATAAACGGGAATAACCCAATATTATATTTTGATAAAACAAATGCTAATAAGGAATGTTTTCTGTTGACTATTATATCTTGCAAAGAGACAGTGGCTGTATTCAGTGCCTAGTAGACTAGTCTTCCTCACTTTATAATACATGGCCACTATTGAATTGTTTTTAACAAGTCGTATTCAAACAAGAATTAATTAGAATATATTGATAGAGTACGAAGCGTTTATAGTGTTATCAAAATTGTTGGTTTTTTTAATAATATGTTGATAGTCATATCTGTGTGGTTCTCACTTGATTCACAATTTAATTACATCAAAATTAAACCCTTGTTCAAAGATTTTTTTTTTCTTGCCAGTGAGGGTGACATAAAGGCAACATTGGAGGTAGTATAGAAAGATCTTATGCTAAATAATAATTTTGAACCATTCGTTTTTAATTTGTGTAATTCAAAGAGTCAACCTCGTATAGTGGGATAAAACTTTGTTGTTGTCGTTGTTGGTTGGACTGTACACCTCCATTTTGGGATGTATGAGGTGGAAGGAAGACAGGGATAAAGAAATAAAGTTGAAGGAGAAAGTAACAAATTTGATAAGTGATACAATAAGAAAGGAAGAGAGACAGAAAGAAAACGGGGAGAGGAGGGAAAATAGGATGAAAGAAAAACTGAGTGTATGTTTATTACTGCACTTCTTTTTTCCACTGCTTCCATATGGCAATATATTTCTAGTAGCTTTTCAACATTTGTACCTTGTATAACAGGTACGTTGCTGTTGGAAACGAGCCTTTCCTTTCAAGTTATAATGGTCAATATCAGAACTTAGTCATGCCCGCAATACTCAATATACAACAGTCTTTAGTCAAGGCAAATCTTGGTGGTTATGTAAAACTAGTTGTCCCTTGCAATGCAGATGCCTATGAGTCCTCAGCACTTCCTTCCCAAGGGGCATTCCGGCCTGAACTGACCCAAATTATGACTCAACTTGTTCAGTTCCTCAACTCAAATGGTTCCCCATTTGTTGTTAATATCTACCCCTTTCTTAGTCTTTATGACAATGATGATTTCCCACAAGAGTATGCATTTTTTGAAGGAACTACTCATGCTGTCCAAGATGGTTCAAATGTTTACACCAATGCATTTGATGGAAACTATGACACTTTAGTTGCGGCCCTCATTAAACTTGGATATGGTCAGATGCCTATAGTTATTGGAGAAATCGGTTGGCCCTCTGATGGAGCCGTTGGTGCAAATACCACTGCTGCAAAGGTTTTCAATCAAGGCTTTATCAATCACATTGCAAGTAACAAAGGGACCCCCTTGAGGCCAAATGCTCCACCTATGGATGCCTATCTTTTCAGTCTGTTTGATGAAGGAGCTAAGAGCACACTTCCTGGAAACTTTGAAAGACACTGGGGGATATTCTCTTTTGATGGACAGGCAAAGTATCCACTAAACCTTTTACTTGGAAACAAGGAATTGAAAAATGCAAGGAATGTTGAATATCTTCCATCTAGATGGTGTGTGGCAAACCCCTCCAGTGATTTGACAAATGTAGTAAACCATATGAGACTAGCCTGTAGTGTTGCAGACTGCACTACCCTTAACTACGGTGGTTCATGTAATGAAATTGGTGAGAAGGGAAATGTATCATATGCTTTTAACAGTTACTATCAGCTACAAATGCAAGATTCACGTAGCTGCGATTTTGATGGGCTTGGTATCGTTACTTTCCTAGATCCTTCAATTGGTGATTGTCGTTTTCTTGTAGGAGTTACAGATAAAGGCACGGATTCATCTTCGTCTCAAAAGACATATCAGTGGTGGATTCTGTTGCTAGTTCTTATTTTACCAGGGACTTTTATGCTTCCAATATGACTTAGGTTTCATTAGTGGGTTTTTGATGGTCCCCTCTTCAGAGACTGTTTAGAACTAGAATAGCTGATATACCTATTTAACCTAAGAAATATTCAAAAGATTCATGGTTTGTAGCCAGGATATGATTAAGTCATTGTATCATATCAGAGACGGTATAAACACTATCACTTTATATTGAATATTATACATATTTAATTTATATATGTTCTGCGGATTCCTATTAATGGATCATAATATAATTTTTATTAACTCACCTCTGCTGGAAGGGCAGAAGCATGCATTACAGTTTACATTTCTGGCAGAAGCACTGAATTCAAATGTTTTTTAGATTTAGTATCTATCTACCATTAAATCGTTTAATTTATAGGATACTTAAATTCATCAATCTAGGAATGGATAAGCTTTTACCTTTTCCCTTTACATACTTTCTAACTTTGGAGTCATATTGTTACGTACCTGGGTTTGGGACGTAACAAGTAGGCTCACTCACACACTTGCAGAGATAAGGAACACTGGAAATTTACTGAATATACCGCTGTGTATTGAATAGAATATACTGCACCGAAGATAACAACCAATAACTGGGAGCAGGATCTCCTTCAGTTACCTGAGAGCATGACCTTTCTTACAAATTTCACACATAAAAAACACTTTTTAACCCTAGACTCTAACTTGATTTATACTAATCATTCTCTCCCAACAAGGTAAAGAATCATAGTAATTATGCCTATTTATTAAGATTATCGGGTAAGAATATGTTCACCCTTATTTACTATATTTAATTTATATTTAATTTATATTTAATTATGGGAACACTCGTTCACTTCCATTAACGGTTCGGCCATCGTGCTCCTCGTTCCCTTTCACTAACCGTTCGACCATCATGCTCCCTCTTCCTTCTACCGCTCGGTTAAGTCTCTCTTCCCCTTCTATCATCTTGACCGCTCGTTCACTTCCATTAACCGTTCGGCCATCGTGCTCCTTGTTCCCTGTCACCAACCGTTTGGCCATCGTGCTCCCTCTTCCTTCTACCGGTCGGTTAAGTCTCTCTCCCCCTTCTATCATCTGGTTCGCTCGTTCACCGATAACCGTTCGGCCATCGTGCTTCTCGTTACCTATCACCAACCGTTCATCCATCGTGCCTTTTCTTCCTTCTAACGTTCGATCTTCGTGCTCCACCCTCTCCACTGTTCGGTTTCCCTCTTTTTCTCTCCTATATCTCTTTCTTTCGTATACTCGCTAGTCCCTAACACATATCCATCATTTTATTTCGTATATCTCTTTCTTTCCATAAATGATATGCTTAGAAGTTGGGGGATGACCCTTTGGATTGTCCACAGTGGCTGAAACGACTATGAATGTCACCAGAAAGAGCCATGAAACAGCAATGACAAAAGCTGCTTTTCTCACCATTTTTTCTACCTTGCTGATACATTTCCATTCTACACGCAAACCTAATTTATAGCAAGTTCACTTTGGACAGTACTATGGGCAAAACGCGGCGGATTCTACAACTTGTCTCTTGATATTTAACTATTGATGCCTATCTCTAACTTGAATGTGGGCACAGTTTGTCTGTTACACACACTAGTCCTCAACTTTTATATGCTCGCCAAGTTTGACTATCACCGTCTTTAAACCAACTTGCTAGCTCAAAAACCTTCACTACTGATTGAAACTATCTTTTTGCATGGCTTATTCAGTGTATATATGCAAGTAACTTGTTTAACATAAGATTGAAGTTAAAAATTCTATTTTTTTTTTTGCTTACGCTGAAGATTTTGAAATAACCAGCACTAGTTTGAATTTGAAAAGAAAAGCAGACATACAGAGTCAATTTCAACAATTTTACTTGGAGTTGATTTAGCACATAACCCAAATGTTCTTATTCTCTGGGTTTTTTGCAATACTCTGGCTTGATCCATATATTTACAGAAGATGCAAATCCAAGATTGGCATTATGTTACTATTAGTGAGTGTTAGATGTTAGGAGCTTGAACTTGTAAGTACTAGCTTCCCCAACAGGGAAAGATGCATCAGATAATTTTCCATGGGCTCTCTTGTTGTCATAACCAGCATACTCATCCTTTAAGAATGGCTCAACGTGTAGCAAGGTCAGCCCTTTCTTTTCTGCCTTCTTCACCAGATCCCATTTGTTGTATGGATCTCCCTCTTTCTGTGTAACATGAATCTCCCCATCGTCCTTCTTTAACAGAGCCTTGGCATTTGCCAAAAAACTCTTCAGCAACCTTTTGTTCAACCTGTATAGTAAGTAACCATGTCCATTCTCAATAAATGAAAAACATATTCTACTTAAAGCAAACCAAGACGCTTGCATGTCTCCATTGTCTGCCATGGTGTACTATACAAGAAACAAACTATACACTGCAATGAATGAACAATTATGAAAAGAGTAGAAAGATGTTCCAAATTCTAAGTCCTGGATAACAAAACTATGTAATTGGATAAATATAAATAATTGAAAAAAAAGGCAACTTTCAACATTTTAGGAAAATAGATTACTATCTTTCTGATTTCACTTGTCTCTTCAATAAGATAAAAAGTAATTTTTTTTTCAAGTTCAGTCCTGAGCCCAAGTGTGACTACTAGTCAAAGCTCCGAGTCAATTACCAAAACAGCTGCATTGCTGGAAGTTACTGCTAGCAATGACAATAAGTTGATGCTCAAACTCTTTTGTCTCTTTTACAGTCATAGAATGAAGTTATTGATGAACAAAACCAAATATTCGAAAGTAATAACAACCTCAATCAAGCCTGCATGTAGAAGGGATGATCACTAACAAAATCTAATAATTAATGAGAAAAGACAAAGAAAGTTTAACTAACAAAAGGAAAAGAAAGGGCATACAAATTAAAGATATGAAAAAGTTGTCGAGAAAGGAAACATAACTGGATCTGGCAGTGGCTATTCTCTGGGTATATAAAGCCAACATGTGGGAAGTTATACACAATGCGATCGAACCTCTGAGTCTTGAGAAAAAAATGATTACTCATTTCCTTGGCATCAACCCCGTGAAAAACACGGCAGCCTCTTTCTTCAAGTTCCAGCACATTGCTGACTCCATTACAGTACTTCTTCCCAATGTCACCTGCAAAAACAAAAACAAAAACAAAAAGACTATGAAAAGGGTGTGATGGAAAGGATCCAAGATTGAATCTTTCCACTTCCATGGGTGAAAAGAGAGGCAAAAGTGAAAAGCTTGTTAGATGGGTTGACCATGGGAATCAAGGGAAGTGGCAACGAGGTTGTGGGCAGAACCAAAAGCCCTGGCCAAACACAGAGAAAAAGAAAAGTCACCCTCCCCAACAAGGAGAATCTTATGCTTTGATGAGTAATGCTTTTTCCATTTATCTGCCTTTGCTGATTCTTCATCCTTCAACCCTGATTCTTGATCACAATCATCTGTACAAAGATTATCATCATCATTATTTCTTGTATCCATCCACTTTGAAGAATGTTATTGCAGTGGTCCTTGGTGTACTAAACTTTCACTGCCAACCCCATTCACCAATAATTCACCTATAGTTCAAATTTCTTGCACTTCTTTTCTTTTTCCTTCTCTGCATAATAACTAATTCTCCACAAATATTCATAGTATATAAACGGGTATAAATATTATTTTAGAAGGACAATTTTATAAGCTTAAGTAGAATTTAAATTCACTCGTAGTAACAAGTCTGTTACAAAGTGATTTGTTGGATTGAAATGTAATTATTTATTGAATCATCATTGAATTATTATTAATATTTAGTTCTAGACATAAATAACTTTTAGAAATCCTACATTGATCAAATATAAAATAAATTTAAAATATATAAATAAGTATAAACAGTTTAATTTTATAAAATTGAGTTACAGATAAACTTCACATTTACTATTATTATACATGTATAAAATAACTATAATATACCATTTTAAAGGATAAAATATGTTTTTATTTTTAATTTAATTTTAGTTCCAGGTTAAAATGTTTTATTTTCTTCATTTTCTAATTTTAAAATATATTATTCTATATAAAGATAGCATATTAAAAAAAGATAAATTAGAAAGACTTTAACAACTAGAAAATCATATTTTTTTTCTTTCTTAAATAGTTTTATAAAAACTAATGAACCTCATTATAAATAGAATTTTAAGGTTACAAAATCATCTCAAATGGAGTTGATTAGGAAAGTTTCTTCCTATATCTCAAGTAGAGCTGTTTAAGAAGACAAGATAAACAGTTGCTTATATAGATAACTATTGCTTTAAAACATTTTTTCCAACAAATAATAAAAAAGTATTTTAAATATAAATATGTGAATTAATATTATTGAGTTCATATAAATAAATTAAGAATTCAATTTATCAGTAATTATTCTTTTATAAATGGCTTAAATTATATATTTGAAAGACCACAAATTACATATGAATGATCATGTAATATCATAATTTGAATTAAAAAGTATTATCAATCTTTTTAGCTACTTTTATATAGGAAAGGCAAAATGGGCCAATTGGGCCGTTTATCTCTGGTCAGTCAGCTCAATTAAAAAACAATTAGGCCCAACTGGTTTGTCAATTGAAAACGGTTTGAAATTTATAATCTGAGTTGCAGGATTACGGTTGGTGGACTGACCCACCAATTTTGTTTTTTTATGATATAGTATTCATGGAAATTTACATTAAAACAAGCTAAAGCAGGTTGAAAAGGATTTTATATTCAATAAAAATAAATCATTATTGTCATAAAGAGAAAAATCTACTTTCCGGTTCTATCATCACTGGTTCTAACCAACAAAATATTGAAACTATCTCTATATCTGTCCCGAATCGAGTTTATTTGTATTAATTTGGTTCAAATACTTTTAGAATTAGTTATCAATATCCTTTAATTTCCTTCTAGAAATTATTTCATGCAGATAATTGTAGTTTCGGGCACATGACTCCCATGTTAGTGTGTGTAGAAACTTTCTTAATCTGTAGGTTCTTTCTGTCAAACCATAGGCATATACAAGATCCATCCATGGTCTTGTCAATGCAAAATCATCAAATTGTCATGCACAAGTTCTACAATAGACATCTGTACAACCAAGTAGGAAATATGACTAGAAACTGATAATCAATATAAACATGGATTCATTGAAGTTTTACACAAGGTGTAAAGTTTGAAAACTGTTCCATGTGCTACATATCTCCTACACGCCAAAACCTGTCATAAAATATAATGTCAATGAGAAGTATACCACTTACAAAGAAAGGTTCTGCATCAGTGCATGAAACAATAATACTCACCCATAAAAGTTCTTTCATTATTAGGCTCTACATTGGCTGTCTAAGCTTCGCAAGCTCAATCAATGAATCTTTAAGAACTTCCTTGTCAACGTTTCTCTTACCCTGAAAAACATACATACATAACGTGAGATGGCATTTTCATTCATACCCATTTGACATAATATTCGTTACAAGAAGTACTACAACACACTCTCTAATTCACTCTGTTGAACACTCTTAATTGGTTGAAATTTAATAAAAAAGAATGTAGTACTAGCAATTTTCGCTTGGTCACCAATGTAGCTTTGGATTAATAATCAGACAACTAGTCAGTCAGTGACATTCTAACAATGAGCTAAGAAAACAGCCAAACTCCACACATGACTTACTACGTGTATTTAGTTAAACTATCATCAATGTATGCAATATCAAAATGACACCCACTCTATTCCAAGATTTTTTATATATTACGACTACAGTTTCTTATACAAGGAAGACAATTTTTTTCTTAATAAACACTTACCCATGAATAGTGAAAAAACCTTATTGCCATGATCAAGAAAAAAACATTAGCCTGCTTCCATTAATGATTTTAACAAAAGGAACAGAAAATGTTCCACCATACCTTCAATCTTGGGAGAAGAGCAAAAACTTCATCAGCAGATTCTGGGCATACATTACCAATCACACATGTCTGCAGTGGGTAATGACGTCAACTTGTCAAGAAAGCTACATAACACATAAGGACAATAGAAATTGTAATAAGATGCTCTATATCATACCTCACAGTCATTGAGACCATTATTTGCAAGAGGTCTGATATTTGAGTCAAGAGATGAACATCAACATTTGTGGAGAAAAGAGAGCAGATTGACACAAAGCATAACAACAAATAATTACACATGTTCATGTCTATAAAGTAAAAAAACACCCACGGAAGTTATACAACAATAGATGCATAGACAAACGCCAGAGTAAAAATTTAAGGATACTCAAGAACGTGTCTAACAGACTGTGCATTTGTGTACTTGCTAGTGCTTCTGGCATACTGCAGTCCCTTGTCAAATGACCTAAAACAGGACAAAAAAGAGATTCAGATCACTCAAATAGATTTTCTACTCTAATGATCATGATCATTTTCAATAAAAAAGAAAAAGGTTGTGTCTCCCTCACGTGGGCATTTTGATAGTTGAATCTCTAGATAACATGACCATCTGGTCCTGAATTCCTTGTAAAATATCTGCAGCCTCACAGTCCATAAGACACTTGATATTTTCTGGAAGTTCTGCATGTCAACCAAGAAATAGTACGGTTGATAATAGGAGGCAAAGTATGATCTCATGCAATAGAGAATAAGGTCATATGGTCGCTTAACCTAAATGGTTAAATCACAAGGCGACTGTAATACAAGTACAAATTAATAGTATACTGATTTACAATAACTAAACGAAAAAACACACAAGAGACAATGAAGACAAGCACCAACTTTGATCCAGTTCTGATGATTGTGAGTCTTTTGACTGAGAGCTCTTTCCTCCATTTGCAACCTTATCTCCTTTTCCTCCTTTAATAAAATCACCATGAAAATAATAAAAAACAACAATCCACTAAAAAGGAACATGATTAAGAGATCAAAAGAATAACCAGCAATCAATTTAAAGATCATGCTGAACATGTGGTCAAATGCAATGTTACCAAACTGATGAATACAATAAGAACTTCAGGAATTACACCCTCACCTTTTCCAACAGATTTTAGTGAAATGGGTGAACTACTACTTATTCCAGATTCATATGGACCTATAATAGAAAATCAAGCAATAATTTCAGTAAGGTGATTGTACAAAGAAGCTTTAGTATTTCCATACTTCACTGAAAAGCAGTACTACGATGTATAATAATGAAGCTAACCATCTTTAGAAAACTGAACCCTCCTCCCTTTCGCTGATTTTGTCGCACTGTCATCTTTCCCTTTCATGGATCCTAGTCCTACCAGGGACAAAGCAGAAAAAAAAATGATTAGTTAAATGCTTAAATCACAAACTGGTTTAAAATACTACCACCCATCATGTGCTCCTGGTTAATGAAGGCAAAACGAGCACAAGTTTTATGTTATCCAAACAGAATCCCAAATCAATAATAAAAACAAACAAAAATATTTAGGGTAATCTGGTTTTAAAACGCGTTTTCTGTGTCTTACGTTTTATTATAAAAATACCACCTTACTTTCATTTTGTCCTCTATTTTGAAAACATTGTACACGAGATAATGAAATCAACTTTTCATTATTTTCATTTGTCTGTTTTCACTGTTTCCTGAGCAACTCTTTTAATACAGAACCAATGTGGAAACAGCACACCATTTCTGTAATTAAGAAAAAAATGGACATAACTTTGTTTTCCAAACCATATATGAACCCTAAGATATAAGGGCACAAAACAGCATATGCAAAATCAAAGGATAAAGACATCAACGAAAGGGGTGGAAGCAAACCCAAATTTGCATCTAACAATTCACGTATTACAACCCCATTCATCTCTCCCAAATAAAGTAATTGTAAGTATGATTGTAAGCTCTTTGAACTCCACCCCTCCCCCTAAATTTTAAATTAAAAAAAAAAAAAAAGTGTGGGCACAAATGCATTTCAATCAGAAAATCAGTTCCACCATATGATATCTGACAACCGAGTAAACATCATAATTTCCCAAGAGACCAGCAGCATCAACATCGGTCCTCGGTGTCAAAAGACTCAAAACCCGACCTTATATTTGTGCATGTTGACCAATACACCAGTCAGAAAATTCAAACCACAGAGAGAAAACCAAATACCCAGAAGACAAAGAGAGAAAAAAAAAAATTGAGGGTAAAACCGAAAGCAATGGAATGTCCAATCCAACACATACCCCCTTTGCTTAATAGAGAAGCGCCCTTTCCTCCTTTCTCCGACATCGCAAAAACTCGCTTCACCCTACAAAATATCAAACAGAGAACAATGCAGGTAAAACAAACAACCTAATGATCGCAAAAGCAAGTGGTGTTGGAGGGTTCAGAGTGTAAGTGGGAACGTGATTGAATTCAGATTTTGAAAAAGAAAGGATTTTGGTGGCATGTGAGACAGTTTTACTGAAAAGGAAAACATGGGTTAGTGAGGAACAGTATGCTAAGCTTCACTTACCACAGAATGAGCAAAGATGCTGGGGAGGAAAAATGGGAACAGGGAATGAAGAAGAATAAGAAAACGAGAATTTGTGTTGAGAGATGATAGTCTGAAACAACACAATGTATTATAGAAAGATGTGTAGGCTTTTACAGTCCCAGGTGGCACTGTTTTTATATGAATTACTATAAACATATTCTATGTATCCACTAGATAAGAAAATATTAAAATGAAAAAATTAATTAAAAAATTTAAATAATAAAATAAAATAAAAAATGAATTTATTAATAAAATAAAACTGATAACCAATTGCATATATAAAAATCATTTTATTACTAGCTTCAGATAAATTTATCTCCAACTATGTTCATTTAAATCATTATTTTTCGGACTAATTTAGAATTTTCCATTCCTTATCATATGAAATAAAAATATATTAAATAAATTTAATTAGAATTTACATTCTAGAGTAAAATTATGTTAAATTCAATAGTTATAAAAAAGTTTTAAAAAAACTTTTATTAATAAATTATATAATATTTTAAAAAATATTATAAATGTAAAACTAGTTTTATATTAAACATATGAATGAGTTTTGTAATATATTTATTCCATAAAGTTCTGGTTTGGAACATTTAATATATTTTTTTATCATTATTTTTTGTTTTATTAAAACGTTACACTATTATTTGGATAATAATTTCACATATTATGTTATTTGGGTAAAAACAAATCAAATTTTGAAATGAAAAGACAAAACGAGACTAAATATATTTTTAGAGGAAAGCCGTCCATGAGCAAATATATCTTCAGGAATAACTCGCTAAGACTGATTGTTTGGTGAAAAAATTCAATGAGTTTGAGATTTTAAAATGAGAAGATGCATGTAAGAGTTATTGACATTGTATATGTTATTAAATATAATTATTTCAATGAGAAAATACTGTGACAAGTGACTTTATGATGCATATTAAAAGGAAAAGATTATCTTAACTCTATTAATTATCATATTCTTATAAAGAAAAATATTGTGAAATTCAATAAAAATTCCTATATCTAAATTGTGGTGTTAGAAAGAATTGTATTTGATAATCGTAGAAAGTTAACGTGTCAATAACATAGGTTTTTTGAGAGGTGACTCTTTGTGATTATTATATTAATGTCGATATTATATTGTTATTCTTATTATTTTCCTATTATTACTAGTATTACCTTCTTCTTATTATTTTTACTGTTACTGTTATTATTATTATTATTATTATTATTATTATTATTATTATTATTATTATTATTATTATTATTATTATTATTATTATTATTATTATTATTATTTTATTCTTGATTTTTGTTTATTATATTATTATTTTTATTAGTATTCTCATTGTTATGATTTTTATTCTTCTTCTGATTACTACTGTTATTACTATTTGTATTATAATAATAATTATTTTAACAATAATATATTACTAATATTTTTCTTTACTATTTATTACCTATTTAAAAACCCAAGAGAGATAATAGAAAGTGAAATGTTGGTTTTAACCATTTAAGACAGAGGGGCTAAAACCTGCAACATTTTGAACCAAAAATTCTAAACTCTGTACCTAAGCTAGTTGATGTCTTCCCAGCTCATCAGAACCATCTACAAGCCATAATGGCAAATATATTTCTATCCAAAAGTTCCTGCTGCTATCTCTGTAAATATTGTGTACCTTATATCCTCTTCTGCGTTCATTCCTAATGAACAAATCAATGATAGTCCATTTATTCCATATACAAACCTTATCTACCCAAAAAGGAAGCCAAAGTTCAATTCAATGAAAACAAAAAACAAAGCATTTCCATTTCAACCATATCTCTCACAGCATTCCATCCGTCTCTAGGGAAGCAGGAGCATTTTCAGTAAGACCAATAAACAGACACAGATAATGTAGTTGCCTCAAACATCGTCAACTTGTGAATGAAATACAAAACTGGGAAATGTAGTTGTAATATCTCTGCCAATAAACAGTTTCAGAGATGTTAGATGCTTAAGCTTTATAACAAAATGTGAATCAAGGTTCAACCAAACTACCAAACACTGTATGCATAATATGGACAACCAAGACAATCAAAGTCAAGTCAGGCTTGTTTACATATTATATAGTCCAAAGTCTTGATTTCTGAATCATTTCAAAACAAATAGATTGAGTTTCTACATGTTAACAAATAGAAAGAGGTATGTACGTGCAAACACAAACAAATTAACATGCAAGCGTGCAAATATAAAGTATCAAGATTTGATTGTTAGTAACAAGAGGAAACTCACTTAAGATACTGAAGAGTCATATTTTTAAGAAGGGAAGGATGATGCAAGACAAGGTTTCGCCATTCTTCCTTGTCAATCTTCCCATCATGTTTTGTATCCGCTTCCTCAAATGTCTGATTAGTTTTAGAAATGTTAGTGAAAGCTGAATGGAGAAGATTGTAACAGCAAAAGAATGACTTGGCATGTCATAATCATCAAATCAACAATAACATGTTTAGTATGCTTTATCTAGCAGAGAAATTATGTACAAACTTGAAACTTTGTCTGTACATGACGAAAATAACACTAATTAGTCACATTGATCAATAAGGTCAGACGTCTTTCTCAAAAATAACACCTAAACAGTGAAATTTGGGATATGACAACTATCAGAAACTCCTACCCTATACTGCTCGTTTTCAAAGTATGCATTGGCTAGAACTAACATGTTTTATAAAGAAGAGGGAGAAAGATAATAAATTTCATACACACTAACAAAGGGCCAAGCATAAAATGAAACTAAGAAATAACTAAAAAAGAACTTATTACTGCTTCAATATACCTAGACTTATGAACAGAAGATTAGAAATATACGTTGAAGTTGTCAGATAAAGAATACCTTGTCAATAATGCTTTCAATCACGTCATCTGCAAGACTCATGCCAGCTTCGGCTAGAGTAGCCACCACCATTTGTTTCAACTACACATAGAAAAACGAGTATATTGATAGGTTTGATACATTTTACAAAAGAAGGAAAAGAGAAGGTAGTTAGTATAGTTGTAATTACATAACTGTAACAGACTATTATAAATAGTCTTATTAGGAAGTGAGCAGGGGTTTTTTTGGGAGGAAGAGAAGGAAAAGTTCCGGATTATTGTGGAGAGTGAGGTTCTCTCGAACAACCTCTGGGGAAAATATGTTGTAACATTCTAAGCCATTTCTATGCCTTTTACATTGGTAGGTGCAGAATTGGAAATAAAGCAATACAGATTTACTACACGGAGTCTTGTTTCCAGTTGTCCTTTTCGTGATTCTATCACATATCTAATACATGCACATACTGATTCCAAAAGCATGTTGGAACAAACCAATTCCAAGGAACAATGAAACAAATTACAAAACTTTGATCTTTGGTTCTGAAACATGATTTTAATTTCCTCTGTAATTAAGTTTGAGATGGTGAGTGACCAAAACTCTATTTATTCAACGTCGTATAAGAATAAATTAAATCACCTCCTGTCTCTTTATAAATCCTTGTTGTTTGAGATCATACAATTGGAATGAAACTGCAAAAAGGGAAAGTTAGGAATCCCCACCAAGCATATAAATATCAATAACAGATAATTATAATTCTAAAAATACTCTTTCCTTTCTAATCCTTAATAATTGTTGTTGGCTACAAGATATCTAGAGTCTTAAGAAATATTAGTTGCTTACACTCAATCTTATCATTGATTGGTGCATTGGGATGAAAAATAGAAAGAGCAAGTGCAAACTCTTTGAAATCAAGTATCCCCTGATGCTTTGTGTCAAACAAGTCAAACACCTACAAAATTTAAACAATAAAAAATCATGAATGGGGCAAATACATTTGTAAAAAGGGGTCATATCAAATGTATATGGCATGTAACTAAGTTCAAAGTAAGTGGATCATGACATCGCCCAAATAACAAACTATAGGTAAACTATATTGGAAGAGTTGAATTTTCCAAAAAAAAAAATAATCAAAATACTTCACTGGTTTTGTGTAATCTTTATTCATTTCCTTGAGTAGGAAAGGTTAAAACAATTTAAAGAGAACACCACAAGAAATTAAATATTTTACGAACCCTATCCGCAAATAAGCTCTCTTTCTTGGTTGTCTTAAACAAGGCCAACTGAAATTCATCCTGCTATGTAAAACAGAGCAATTTTTATTTTATGGATATGATAGAAATAATTTCATTGTTCCAAGAGGTTGAAAAGATAAATATAATTATAAAAACATTATGGAAGCACTGAGCATGATACAAAATTACCAACCTTAGTAATTAGTCCATCGTCAATTACTGCACTGCTGATCTTCTTGAATAGTTCATACAGTGCTTCAATCTCACTTACACTAACTGCATTTAAATAAAAGAAGTTAGGTTCCAAGTCTTAATAAAAGGATAAGTAGAGAGTGCTAAAGGTTAGTATACAGATCCATTTCAGTCCAACATCAGAGTCTTCAAAGGCCTTGAAAAGGCCACTGTCTTTATTACCACTTTTGTTCAGTTTAATATTCGTGCATGGCACCTCCCAAGGAGAGAGGAAAATATTTTTTTCTACTTTTGAAAATAGTGTGTGAAATGCACTTCCATGGAGAGAGAAGAGAGTGCTAAAAAGCTTAATCGAGTGAGTGAGACTTTCACTCTCCAAGTTGAGGGTTCTAATTATAGAATGGGAATAGATTGGTGCAAAATACTATATACGGTGATAATAAATTGGAATAGGAACTATATTCTATCAGTGCTATTTGGAGGAATAGAAATACGAAATTGAAGTATTTTAGTTTACAAATACTATGTACGAAATTAAAGTTCCAATCTATTCCAATTCCAATTAAAAATCACACGAAAGTTCCAAATATCATAAAATGGAAAAAAAAAACGGAGATAATAACATACACACTGTTTCTCTTGCAAGTGCTTCTGGATTTCCTAAACCTCTGGGCTGCTGCTGGGACAGATCAGCAGCACAAAAGCTTATCACAGCAGTATACAACTGCTTTAATCCATCAAAGCACTGAACCATGATCTTTTCCAGATGTCAAAACATTCCATAGCTGGAAATCCCCACAAAAAAGAAAAAGTAACATCAATAAAAAGTGCTTGTATCATGAAAGAAAAACTCCAACCATAGTACTTAATAAATAAAACAATTCTTTTAACCAAAATAACCCAAGCACACAGAAAGATTATAGAAGCAGAAGGAATACTGTACAAAAACTTATGGTGAAATTTTTATTATCACCTACATTTTCTCGGTCTAGGTTGTTTCTTCATATGCCCATGGGCAAGGGGTAAAAAGAAAGACCAGAGATAGGGGGAAAGAACTGATTAATTAAAACGAGATGTAAAATATGAAACAACGGACAACCAAATTGAACATACACCTGGGAACTGATTTACCAGTCCTAAGACATTTGTCAACATACACAGAAAAATGAGGACACTCAAAGCACACATGTTTGAATGGCATTGAATTAATAAGGTAAACACCATTAACGATTTTAATAATATTTATACAAATTCCAAATTATGGTTGCATTTACTACCATAAACTTGAAATTCACATCCCAATGTTTAACAATTTATGTGAGTACTCGCTATTAAATGAAAAAGGTGCAACACAAAGTTGAAGTAGCATCTCATATTAGTTACATCATAATAAAGATTGTTTGTTGTATTTTAATAAACATATTATAGATACGATTTCAGGAATGAAAAGGATGGAATCTGTCTACAATACTAGGTTTCACAAAAATATTATTCCAAAAGGGAGAAGGGCATTGATATACACATAATGATTGAAAAACAAGCATGGAGTGCTAGTTGATGCAGATGAGACAGAGGCAGAGGAAGTGATACACTACTCCTGGCCAAGGTTTTATATTTTCATCTTGAACACTACCATACCGAATATTCACCATGTTTATGAGTACACTACCAATAGGAATGCAAACAAAATGTCACAGAAAACAATTACCCGTAGTATATTCAAACAACATTGCAGATAAGCTAAGCACAAACATGGTATACTAAATTCGACATAACACTAACCATAAAAAACACAAGCAATAGAACCACACCCTGTAATGAAATCGGCAAAAACAAGAGAAATCTTTTAATCAAAGAATTAACACTCACATAAATTCCCTCTGAAAATTCCCCTTTACTCCATCACCACTCACACAAGACAAGAGGCCCAGACAAAAAGAAGGTATATAAGATAGACAGCTTCAAGTGTTTCCTTCTAGTCCAAGAGGAGAAAACTAATTATATTGTAAGACAAGAAATGCATCTATAATGATATAACTACAAGTAAATGTTTGCTTGAATCCTGGAATATCAGCCAAAACCAATACAATCATAAATTATCTGATTTACATTCCATTTCAGCAACCATTAAAGGAAGCCTTCTACCTACCTTCATCATCACACGAATTATTGAATTTAATATGCAATTACTCGTACAGTCAATCCAAAAAACAAAAAAGAAGAAAATATGTTATATCGTAGATCGATAATTGAAGCATGTGCACACCCATGCAAAATATTTCCATGCAGTAAATAGCTAGAACAAATTTCTGGTTTCGCCATCCAGAAATTTGTTATTCAACCACGTACTCGTTGTCTTTCTTGAGAATTCAACAAGTCAAGAAAAATCTTTGTACCAGACCTACCAAACAGTCCCATATTCCACCCTTTAAAGTCGAATAGTTTAACAATAGTTGCTTTCATTACTTAAAATCATTGCAGACCCCATCAAAGAGTTTCACCCAATTCCCCTTTAAGCAAATATTCTACAACCACAACCATGGAAAGCAGAAACATGATCTTGAATAAACACGCACATGAACTCATTCTCTCGATAAACTGGGCCAAAAGCTAACTTAGAGGTGAGCACAGTTATTGACAAAAGAAAAAACTAAAAGTGACTCTGAAAACCAGATAAATGGAAAATCACAGGTTCAATAACATGGCACAAAATTCACGTTTCCTTTACATGCATCAAGCAAGGCAAGAAAGACAAGAACTTCGTGACACAACACGAGGCCCTGAATTGAATCCCATTGAGATTTCAAAATGGCATTTTTGAAAAGCTTTTAAAAACAATAAGTGACACGAATAGTGTAAAATTAATCGGATTCATCTTCTTTGATTGCTGAATAAACAACACACAGTTAAAGCTTTCAAAATCTCTGGATTAATTAAATGACAAAACAAAAATAAAACTTGCAAATCATAAAGACTAGACACTGCAGAACTGAGTGAAATGGAGTAGTGGGGTTTACCTTTCAGAAAAACCAGAGAAAACAGAAGAAATGGACATGTTTTTGTCTGTGTGCTTTACTATGAAACTCAATGGGAGAAACAATTTTTTGTTTGTGTGTATTTATATTTATTTTTCAAAGAAATGTTTTTTCATTAATTGCTGGGTTTTTACTAATCAACGTCCTTGGCAAAAAGGTGACTAATAGAAATATTGAAAGCCATGGATCCATAAAAGATAATTTTGAAAAAAAAATATCTTCTTTCTTTTGTTGTGTCCTGATAAAAGAATAAAAATTGTTTTGTTAAATAGCTTGCAAAATTGAAAAAAAATTGGAGAGGAGAGAAAAATAAAAAAAATTGGAAGAAAGAAATTTCACTGCTATGGCTTAGCTGCTTCATAACCAGTGACATGTGGTTCTTTGACTGGTTGTTTCAGTTTTTTTTTTGGTAGTTGAACTAAGTAATAATCATTTGATAATACTGATGATGATTGCAAATACTAAATGTTTCTGTTAACAATGTTCTATATTCTCTTTTAGATATATTAATTACTGTGAGATGAATTTTAAGTTCATAATTTCAGTATAAATTTATGTTAAATTAAAAAGCACTAATTTTTTTTCTTAAAAAGGTTGGAGTGATTTCATTTATCAAAATAATATGACAAGTTTGATGTATTAATTGGTTTAAGGTGAGTGTGACTTGTGAAATTAGGATTTTTTAATATATTATGTTTTTTTTAATAAGTGGTTTTTTGGTATCTTAAAAAGAAATAACATTGTTGTTTAAACTTTTGTATGTATATCTAGTTCAAATTTCTTATATTTACGTGAAGAAAATTATTATATGGATAATTTTCATTTATAAAAAATAATATAAATCGTTTAATTTTTTTTAGATATTTATTTAAATCTTTTTATAATAAATATAGTTTATCTATGTTTTATAGAATATAATTTTTATTCTGAATTTAGTGTGATTATCCATATTTTTGTATTTTTTTAATAAATTTTATTGTGATTGTAAAAGATTATGAATTTTAAGAATGTGAACATGACATGTATGTCAAAAAAACTTTATTATGATGTCTAATTTAAAAAAAGAATAGTTTTTATATGAAAAAAATAATCAACCAAAAATAATGTTACAAATATGATTTTTATAATAAATAAATAAATTAGTTATTTCTTTCAAATGAGGTTGTTTTTGTCGACAACTAAATTTTACACTTCACCAACTTGCTGGAGTGACACAATTTTGTTCTAGTTATCAAGTTTTCTTCCCACTTGTCAGCCTATTTAGCAGATTATTCAAAAATAATTATGAGCTTATTAAGTAAAAAAACGTATGACTTTTAGTGTGTCAAATTATTATTAAATATAATAATAAAATAGCATTAGTGAACTATTTTCTTAGAGAAGAGATTAATTAAAAATATATTAGCGACTTGTCTCTTGTTAACTACTTTCTTTTATATTCATAGTTTTTTATTAATTTGCTATGCAGAAAATGTTAAATCAGAATAAAAATAATTACTGTCTTAAAATATTGTCTTTTTTAATTTCTGAATATAAACATTAAATTATACAAAAAAAAAATAATAAATAAATATATGACAAATGAAAATGTAAAAAATATGCAATGCCTGAAAATGGTTTTTTTAATTTAATGTGGTCAAATTAAAAATAATATTAATATAATTTGCTGTAAATGTATGATATATTAAAGTAAGGATTAAATATGTTTTTATCCCTTAACTTTTAATCAAAATTGGAATTAGTCCCTCTTCAAAACTTTGGACTAATTTAATCCTTTTAGTTAACATTGAAGCAAAAATGTCTTAAACGGTATAAACAACTCAAATGCTATCATGAAACGCACCTGAAACATCAAATAAACCTAGCAAAATTTAGTTAAAAGGACTAAATTCACACATTTTTAAAGTTTGAGACTAAATTAGACCAAAGTTTTGAAAAAGAACTAATTTCAATTTTCACTAAAATTAAGGGAAAAAAACATATTTAGCCCTTAATTTAATGTAACTACTGTTATATACTGTGACATTTATCTTTCCATTTTGTGAACTGTTTAAGATGATAAATATAAAGAAAAAGAAATGTTCACACAAAAAAAATAAAACTAATTATTTAAAGAAAAAAACGTTATGGACAATTGTTTACAATTTGAAGTGATTTCAATATTCTGTTTTTTACTAAGTATGTTTCTGACTGATAAAAAACGTCTATGTATTATTAAATCGAGTAAGCAATTTAAAAATCGTTAAATTGGTAAGAAAATTATTGATATTTATTTAATATAACCATTGCTCAATAAGTATTTAAACAGTATTGATAAATATACTTTTAATAATATATTAAATATTTACTATATACTAACACAAAACTTCTATAATTTAGATTATTTGAAAAGTTTTGATAGGTTGGCTATATGAATTGATTTGGTCTGTCTGTCATCATTTTATGTTCATATTGATAAAATAAGTTCTATATTGCATGTAAACAATTAAAAAAATAGATCATTATTAAATAGGTAAAAATACTGATTAATAATTCCATTAATATAGCACTTGTTGAATTAGTATTTAACAATATTAATTAAATATATTTTGATGATAATATAGTTAATGAGATACTAACATAATAGTAATTTAGTTTTGGCCAAAATCTTTTGATAATGTTGTTGTGAAGAGTATAAGCATTTTCTGTGAAAAGTGATTTGTGAATTGGACAATATTATAGCGATCGACAACATAACTCTAATTAAATATTATTCTTGCAAGTTGCTTTTGAAAAATATGAAATAAGTTCATACTATCTATCAAGAATTTGTAAATAAAAAGTCAATACAGATCAGTAACATTAATTATGAAGGCACTCAATTTTGAAAATGTTAGCTATATTACAATAATTCAGTTTGATTTTTTTTTCATGACTAACTAACTCGTGATTAACTCGTTTTAGTATAAAAGTCTTAAAAGTAAAATATTATAAAAAAAAAGTTAATATAATGATTTGTCTATTTTACACAGTTTGTGAGGACAATAATTTTTTTTCAAATATTAAAAAGTAATATTTTTAACGGTAAACAACCAACCAAATCCGCTTTCACATTGAAGAGTAGTTGCAAGATTTATAAAGCAATCAAACTAAATATCTCATCTTGATTTTGTTGTATGTATTTATTACATATACACGTAATTAGTGTACACTCGTGAGTTTGAGATTTATATATAATATAAATGAAAAAAAGTTAAACTAACATGTGGATTAATTTTGACTAAATATAATACGGAAAAAAGTGTTTAAAAAAATAAGCATGATTAAGAGAAATTTTTTTCACCTTTCTTTTTAAGTTTCTAATGACATATTCTCTTTTCAGGTTGTCACATTCTATAAAAATAAAAGGCTTACCCTTTGTTCACTTGAATGCATTTGGGAGAGAGTGATTGAGTGGATTTTAGAGGATTTGAAGATAAATTTTGTTGTTATTTATTTGAGTGAATTTGGAGGTAAATGAGAGTGAATTTGGAAGCAACGTTTGTGAAAATTAGTGTAGGATTTGATTGATGTGACAGATTAAAAAAATTTACTTTCAAATCCACTCTCACCTACCTCCAAATTTATTCAAATAAACAATAACAAAAATTATTTTCAAATCCTCTCAAATTCATTCAATCACTCTCTCCGAAATTCATTCAAGTGAACAAAAGAGAAATCTGGTTCAATAAAGTGTTTTCACCACACTCCTAGTTTTGTTAGGAAGACTATGAGAAGGAAAAAAGAAAAGCATTTTAAGAGCAATAACCACCATATACACATGAAAATGAAAGAATGTATTTTTTTTAAGATTTTTGTGATCCTTTTACCACTCTCTCCTAATCATTATTTTTGTAAAAGATACTTTTTAATTTTGTTAAGAAGTTCTTCATCTTTGTATTATTGATAGGATGTTCATCTCTTGATATATTTAAGATTATTCTTCCACATTGAGTACTACCCTGTACGTAGTCTATGTCTGGGGAGCATACTTGACAGGAGATAGACACAGGCGGTAGATAGGTCCCCCACTTCGATTCCAGCCCCGTTAGCATAGCATCTCCGATCCGAGATAAGGGATTACTCCGTTAGGTCTTTTCGGTCCGGAGCCGGCCGGTAATGGACCTACTTACTTTGCTTGTGGACCAGCTGCAGAGCTAACCCTTGTTCTATTGGTTTGGCGGTTGCTACCAAGACGATTTCTTTATGCCCATCAAAGGACCTCTAGATGCTAATCCACGAAAAACGATACGAGAAATTCGAAAGAACTCATATACGGAACGAGGGCGACCCGTGGAAATACATCGGTTTCTTACTCGTGCAAAGGAACTATTTCTTGGCAACTTGGACAACTTATAACGAAGTTTGTCCCGCATATCACTAGGAAGATCGGAATCTTTACAAAAGGCTTTATAAAGCTTTCGTCTCAATTCATATTTAGCCGCGAGCAATCTGNCAAACGGAGCTTGAGGGGCAGAGTGAAGTTACCATTTTAGGAGCAGATGTCCCGGCTGGTAAGGGAAATGAATGAAAGAAGCTTCTCCAATAGGAGGCATGTGTTGAGCATTTGTTTCCTTTGGCAGCTGAAGTTCCAGTGCCATTTGAGTAAGGAAGATTGGCCAATCTGAATGACTCCCTGTGAGACTTTGAGAGCAGATGTATTAGTAGTTCCATTTCTAGTTGAAAACAACAAATTAGAATTCAATCACCAAGTGGATATCTCGATAACTAAAGGTGCCAAGCCTCGGATTCGACTTGAAATGAGGATAAGGGTTCCAGCTAGATATGTATGATTCACCCGGTACCTGGTATTGGTAGTAGCATCCGTCTCTTTCCCCTCCCTCTGTATGAGTAGAGAGGCTGAGGGGAGGTCTACTAAAGGGCTACTCCACCGGACGATTGTTGTCTTCTTTCAATAATGCTTTGTTGGTCACCGCTGCGAGGCATCGCCTGTTGTACAGTTGCTTTAGCCTAGGAGCCAACCTAGCTAAGGTTCACTCCTTTTTTTTATTTCCTTCCTTGAGGATGAGGACTTTTCATTCGATAAAGGACTTGAGATAGACAATTGCAGTTAGTCTTATCCTGGGTATGGGACCCTAGGCCCTGAATCTATTATAGTGTTATAAGTCCTCTTTCTTGATTTGCATAACCTCGCATCACACACAACAACAGGCATGGTTGCGCACCAACCGGAGTCGGTCCTTGCATTCAAATAGGGGAGCTCTCAAGCTCGATATTTTCTTTCTCGGTTGATACTAGCACACAAGGATCTTCCCTATGAACAGGAGGCAAGATTTCCGCAGCTCCTAACTTTGACCACGAAACAGAGAACAAGGCTGAAAAGAAGCTTTCTTCACTTTGACGATCCTAGTGTGAGTGGATGCGTAGTTTGAAAGTATTTCCACCTGAACCAGGGTCGTGCTGAACCTTTTTCTGGCTGACGTTCCTTGGAGGTCCACATGGACTTAGAATGAGGAAGTAAAGCATCGAATTCCATGTAATGAAGAAGTAAAATTATTAAAGTCATTTTTTGTGTGCTTGGCTCTCTTTTAGAGTGAATTATTTTTTAGTCTTATCTTAAACCTTGATTCATAGGCTAGAATCATCACTCATCTTGAGTTGGTCCATCTCTTAAGTAGCACATGTCATCTTTCTCATCTCTTCCATTATTTTTCTTTTTTCATTTTTGATCTTTTATTTCAAATCATTTATGTTTTTCGTCCATTTTATGCTTTTACAATCCATTGACTTTGTTTATTTTATTATTTTCATTCTCTTAATTGAGTTCATCAGTTTTTCTTTTTAGTTGAATATCTTGAAGTGAATATTAGCATCTAGATAACATTGTTAGTTTAATGTTTAGTGAAGATATTTTTGAAACTTATTTTAAATAACATAAACACAGACAAAATGTGTTCTAAAATCAATTATCTCATGTAAAAGGAATAGATCTAAAATTTTATTATTTCAAAAGTTATGATGTTTTTGTTTTTTCATATGAATTTATTCATGATCATGGGTATAAAATTTTCTTAGTATTTTTTTTTTCTTAAAAAGAGCCTAATAATATTAAAGTGAAGCTATATGAAGATCTTAAAGGAAGAAACCTATGACATGGTATGTACAAGGAGCTATCGTGATTTAGTAAACTGTTTTGTGAGTAAGTTCAAAATTCAAATAAAGTGTTAAGACAGGTTTAATACTTCTAGTGCACTTTTAGTTTTAATTTATTCATATCTTCGATGTTGTTATGAATTTTGATTGATATATATATATATTTATGATTGTGTATTATGAGATATGGGATTAGAGAATTTTATTACAAATGATGAAATATTAAAGTTCATATTATTGGTCTTTATATTTTTAATTACATTATATTATCTTATTTTTCGTGTTAAATATTTTTTATTTTAATACTTAGTGATTGTGTCTCAAAATGTTAATAGATGATTAAACAAATATAAGACTTTTACAAAAACTGTAACATCCCAAAATTATATAGTCAGGAACTATATAATAGAATAATTACATGTATTAATATAACAAAACAGTCTTACAGATAAGGAGATAATTCTCGCAAGTGGCCGAACGGCCTTACATAAATACACAAAAGTTTACGAGCGCTCAAAAAGGTAATAAGGACGAACGGTTTACAAAAATAAATACCGAACGTCCAACTATTCAACTATAGCAAAAGGGCGCTCGTTCTAAAACGGCCCGCTAACTTAACTAAGCTAACAGCTCACCGAACGTCCTACTGTTCAGCCTTCACTTCAACCTCTACCAGATTCTCTTCAGCAATTAGTCCTTCTTCAAGTGTTTCCTCCAGAGAAGCATCTACCTCTGCTCACATCCACACGGATGATCATTGCAAGGACAAGACGGATACACATATACAGACAACACAATGTAAAACGAAGGGTAAGCTTATTGAATTTAATTCAAGTAAAACATACATTTCATACATATCAAACACATCAAATAAGTTACAACACATACGTTCNAGAATAGGATGGATCGGTCTATGCCCACTAACTCATTCTTTTTTGTTTGAAATGAGCCTGCGGCATGCCTTCTACGCGCTATACCCACTTGATTGAATGGCTTTGCCCTCTTCCTTGGCTTCAATCTCTGTTCCAGTAGAAGAAGAAGAGGGCGCTTAGCCGGGAAAGAGCTTCTATCGCTAATGGTCACCGATCTAGGGCATCCTAACCTAGGGAACTCATCTACGGAATCTAGGCTCCTAGGACATAAAGGAAATGAGGACTTGTTCTGTTCGTCTATCGAGCATCTCCGTCTCTAGCTCTGGGTTCTCAGTTCGCTAACTAGTGTCAAAGAAAGGGTTTAGCACTTCCATTGGTCCATAGAATACCGAATCACTGACAGTCGACAAGACAGACTGATTTCACTCCCTCGATGGAGATTCATCACACTCTATGCACTAGCCCTTTTGTCAATTCATTAACGGACAGAAGCAGATTTAATTCGAGAATAAAGAAGAAGGGTAGGCAAGGCTTTTGAGCCCGTCCTTCTTCAATCAAGTACGAAAACAACACAAACTGATATGATCACACCCTGCTAGCGCCTCTCAGTGAGAGACCTTCTTTGATCTGTTCTCGTATCGGATGTTCCGGTTCACTCAGATTCCAATAAGATGGTATGGTATAGTAGGGTTTAATGGGCTGAGCCAGATGGATGAAATCTAATCTTTTCCTTTTACCACAGCTGGTTCATCATCCCAAACATCAGGGACAACCTTCCATTACTTGTTACGCTGAAAGATCAGATTGCTTGGTTCGTAGTTTCAAAGTAAGGGAGGGTGAAGCACGTGAACCTTGGTCAACAATCTGAAGCAGTCAAAGAAAGAACAGAAGCAGACATCATTCAATAAGAATGTGTGTATGAGTTACGCCCTTCCGAGAAGAAAGCAGAAAGCTAGTCTTTGAATCGCTTAGGATATGCATTGGTTGTTCTTCCCTCAATAGACAGATACGATAAAGAAAGATCTCACTGCTGGGAGGTGGAGATGGATAACACCCCAAAACAACTAAAGGCTGACCAGGTCGAAGAGGGAAGTAACTTGTAGGATAGGAGTCTCCCTTTCCCTATATATAGCCGGTGAGTTAATAAACAACCACAGGAGATCAGCCTTTCTTTACTCTTTCCAGCTGAAAGAGAATCTAGCTAGGTTCGTAGTGTCAAAGACAGGAGGTTCACAGCACTTTACCTTGTTGTTCAACAATCTTGATACCCATCAAAAGCAGTCCGTTTCCTTGAATGACCTTAGGAAGGGCTCATATGCTTTCAAAACGAGATCTTCTGTTGTATGTAGAGATTCACATAGATAATGTGTCGTTGCCTGTAGCCTGTAGAAGGAGTGGGAGGATGGTCTTTCTTTGAGTTCGATAAGCAGTAGCAGTGCGTGAGACAAAGGAACGAGGTCACAAAGCCAAAGCATTTTCACATTTGATGTCATTGCCACTCTCATCAATCAAATGATTCAAATAATCTATATTGTAATATATAAGGGTGTATGGGGATGAGCAGAAAGACAGAACACCCATACATCATCTTAATCCCATGCTTGGCCCATCTAGGGGGCAGCATCAGAGGGAAGGAAGAACGGGTGTAGCACCTTTCCCTTGGTCAATCAAATTCGGATACCAACTGAGTCCTTTCCGCTCTCCGTAGGGCAAGCTCTAGCTATAGTAGTTCAGTTTTCAAAGCTTCTGACTGTTCCGTTCCCGTCCGGGTTAGTTCAGATGGATCGAGTAATTACATTATAGAAGAAAGCAGCCAACCGGCCGCTCTTCTCTGGTTGTTCGTACTTGTCCGGTGCTTAGTTCAGATTCAGTGACCAGTGCTTGTCAGGAAAATGCTGTCTTTGAATGGCTGACCCGGCTAAGCGCTTCACAATGCGCCCAGTGACAGTGTTCGATTTCCGTGCCTGTCTACAGAACAGGAACGAGGTCGTCAAGAAGGTTTCAATCAGGTGTCTATCCCCACCTCAATCGGTTCGAGATTCAACATATACCGTGCTCCGCCTCCCATTTAAGTAAGATCTCCTCGTTGGTCGGGATTATGCCCAATACCCCACTCACTTCCATCAATCCAGCTGGTAAGTTCCAGTTTCTTTTGTGCATCTTTCTCCCATGCTTTCTCTGTTGGTCAACAACCAACCACATCTATAGTTAGTTCTATAATAACTACTCCGTGCAAGAAAGACTCTCTTGATGGAGGGAATTTGGATTTCTCATAGCAATCAATGTGGAACTGGTTGGATAGCGTATTTCAAGACAATCAAAGATGGTGGCTATTCCTGGGTTTCTTATACATCGTCTATCTCTGTTACGCCTTGATCTTGCACCGAAAAGATCGTAAAGAACTCGAAACCAAGATGATGGAAAAAGAGAGGATCGAAGAAATCGAGTTCCACTATTCTTGGAAAGGCGTCAAAGTCCGTATGCGATGCACCCCTTATCAGAAACCTGGACGCCATCCCTGCCCATGGAGTATAAGTGGGAGTTTCCTTTCCTTCTACCTCTTTCGGGCTTGTATACTAGAAGGAGTATAATATACTTTACTTGGAGGAATACTAGAATAGGGAGTTCACTTAATCCAATTCCAGCCCTAAGGTAAGGCTAACAAGTTTTCAAGCTGATAAAATAAATCCGGCAGGAAAGGAGGAAATAAAATGGCAATCTCTGAGTCTGTGTGAGACCTTATATTATAATAGCCAGTTCCATTGGGCCTCCCCCTACATCTAATCCAGTGGAAGTTGTCGTTCCCGGGCCAGTAGCTTTGAAAGCCTAAAAGAAGGATTCTATTTCGGGTCCATCAAATACAAACGCAAGCTAAGGAAGTTTGAAAGCTATAGTTATAGTATTTGAATTTCAATAGAGCCCAGTCAAATTATCTTTTCTTTCCTGCCTATTTCCTTTACCTCGGTGGGCAGCTAACGAAATCTCATAGAAAAAGAAAGGGGCTGGTTAACGAGTCTAACTAAGATTCGACTTGAATGATGTTTTTGGTGTTATTGGACAGAATTGTTGCCCTTTTTCCACGCCTCATTTTTCAGAATATGATTATGAGCTGCAGAACGCTTGAAGCTGGAATTTGAGCATTGAATACAGAATCTTTTTTTATTTATTGCCATCCAAATCTGCCACTTCTTTGGCGAGCCCTTTGTCATCCTTAGGTTATTTGTGGATCGGGTTCAGTCTTTATGAAGAAGGTAAGGTCTCTCGTTGAGGCGCCGTCAAAGCCGACTTTTGAGAAACAAAAGTGGAACAAATAACCTCGGAGATATGGATTGAAAGGCATTCCTCGTCCCAGCCATAAATCAATGGGTAAAGACGGGCGCAGCCAAATCAACCATTTCCTATCAAGACTGGGAGAACGGCGATTTGACAATCGACCAAGAGACAACTATCCTACCCCTCCAATCCTACAGAAGGTCATATATGAACCTCTGTACGGTATATTGAAACCGAATGGCACTTAAGCCATGGGGATGAAAGTCGTTACTGAGACAACGGATCGACAAAAGAAAGACCGGTACCATCTGACTCCTTTCGATATAAATTCTTTATCTCTCCCATCTTTCATCCATCTGGAAGCTCATTTTTCAACACTCCAGGAAAGTGAAAAACAGGCTCTGCTCCCGAGAAGCAAATGCATCTTCTCAACTGGAAGAAAGTAGGCTTGTGAACCAGAGATAGAACCTGGTGAATGCGTAAGCGCAGTGCCTTTCGTAACTATATATTATACCATACCTTCTTCCTGGCCGGCCAAGCTCTTTTCATTTACAACCCTTTCCGAATCCGATCTCTCCGTTTGCAGTTCCTGCAGCTTTCCCCCCGGTGAAAGATCAATTGGTTCGCTCGATCTGGAATGGAACCGGATAATATGAAATGGGCTCTCGACCCAGGCCTTGCTTTTCAAAGAAACCAGTCCTATCGTATCGACTAAGGTTTCCCATCCTAGCCTATCCCGGTGTCTGCTACCGAAAGAGAGAATCGGTCTAAGTGCAGCTCAAAACCAGCCCAACCTCTTCATGGTCACATCCCCTTATCCGACGCTTTTCGTGTTGTTGCATGTGCCTTACGGTATCCAGATCCAGTCCTCTCTGCTTCCTATGATTGAAGTGAAGATCCGCAATGTCTGCTTTCCTTACTCTAACAAGTAAGCAAGTCAACTACCTTGGTAAGAAAAAAAAAGGATTGAATAATAGAACTGGGGACTAGAGGCCTCTCCGATTGAGAGGATAAAGTCTGTGATTCAAAAACCAAACCAGTTGTTAGAGCTGGGTCGGATAGGCAATCAACATGATTGGTCCCGACCCAGTTTAAGTAGTTGGGTGTGAGTGCGCTTCTTCAATCTAGGTAAGCGAAAGCAAGCAGTAGATCGAGAAAAGAAAGAATACGGATTGCAACCTACAGATGAAGAATAGAATTCAATAAGAAGAGGAATCAATCGTTCAGTGATCGCTACGCTTGATTGGGGCAGGCTACCCACACTGTTTTGGCTAAAAAGCCATCTCCTTGCCTCACAGTTTACCTACTCCAAAGTGAAGACAAAAAAATCTGTCTAAATAGCTCCGGTGGAGCTTCGCGGGGATCGTACGTCAGCCAAGGCCTTAGACCGGAGTCCCTGCAGGTTCTCAGCTTCTGTTCTTTCAGAACCTCCTCGGTGCCTCTTCCTGGCTACTCCACTCCCAGTCGGGATGGGTGCCACAGCTTGTACTGGCTAATTCTTTATATATAACCTATCTTTCCATTTGAAGGAGTCTATCCCACAGCTGAAGTCTGAAACACTACTATATCGGACGAAAAGTCTTTCCCGGCCTCACTGAGTGGATCTGGTGCCCACACTTTATATAGTCCTTTTAGCTTTATTGGAGGATGTGCCCAAGCTTCTTTTGCTAAAGCACATCTCCTGTCTGAACCCTTGACCGATTCGAAATGAACAAACCCACATTTTTTAAAGAGATGATCGAGTCTGCCATCCTAGGCGGTTCTCCCGTAGCGTCTCTACCGGCAACTTTCTAAGGTTCAGGTTTGTCTGCCTATCCTAGGTGACCATCTTCGTCTACTACAACTAGGGGTGTGTGCCATAGAGTGTGGTTCCAGGTGCATTTCCAGTTTTGATAGTTGTTGTCCTTCCTCTGTGATTCAAGACAAAGAGTATAGGCTAGAGTGGCTTTCCCGAGTGAAAAAAAGGTATAGTGGAATCTCCGAACGAACACTTCGAATCTGTATGCTCGTGCTTTCCGGGAAGGCTGGTCCGGTTAGTCCTTCTCCAATTAGCATCTCGCCTGATCGTCCGCTGAATAAATCGCACATGCTCCAAGGACTTCACGGAATTAGGAGGCACACAGGTAGGTATACCAAGAGAAATGCGGGTAAGCCACGGGGTAAATAACCCCTTCATAAAAGCATGCATTTCCAGACAAGAAGATTGATTGTGGAGGAATTGTCCACATGATGAACCAAACGGAGCTTGAGGGGCAGAGTGAAGTTACCATTTTAGGAGCAGATGTCCCGGCTGGTAAGGGAAATGAATGAAAGAAGCTTCTCCAATAGGAGGCATGTGTTGAGCATTTGTTTCCTTTGGCAGCTGAAGTTCCAGTGCCATTTGAGTAAGGAAGATTGGCCAATCTGAATGACTCCCTGTGAGACTTTGAGAGCAGATGTATTAGTAGTTCCATTTCTAGTTGAAAACAACAAATTAGAATTCAATCACCAAGTGGATATCTCGATAACTAAAGGTGCCAAGCCTCGGATTCGACTTGAAATGAGGATAAGGGTTCCAGCTAGATATGTATGATTCACCCGGTACCTGGTATTGGTAGTAGCATCCGTCTCTTTCCCCTCCCTCTGTATGAGTAGAGAGGCTGAGGGGAGGTCTACTAAAGGGCTACTCCACCGGACGATTGTTGTCTTCTTTCAATAATGCTTTGTTGGTCACCGCTGCGAGGCATCGCCTGTTGTACAGTTGCTTTAGCCTAGGAGCCAACCTAGCTAAGGTTCACTCCTTTTTTTTATTTCCTTCCTTGAGGATGAGGACTTTTCATTCGATAAAGGACTTGAGATAGACAATTGCAGTTAGTCTTATCCCGGGTATGGGACCCTAGGCCCTGAATCTATTATAGTGTTATAAGTCCTCTTTCTTGATTTGCATAACCTCGCATCACACACAACAACAGGCATGGTTGCGCACCAACCGGAGTCGGTCCTTGCATTCAAATAGGGGAGCTCTCAAGCTCGATATTTTCTTTCTCGGTTGATACCAGCACACAAGGATCTTCCCTATGAACAGGAGGCAAGATTTCCGCAGCTCCGAACTTTGACCACGAAACAGAGAACAAGGCTGAAAAGAAGCTTTCTTCACTTTGACGATCCTAGTGTGAGTGGATGCGTAGTTTGAAAGTATTTCCACCTGAACCAGGGTCGTGCTGAACCTTTTTCTGGCTGACGTTCCTTGGAGGTCCACATGGACTTAGAATGAGGAAGTAAAGCATCGAATTCCATGTAATGAAGAAGTAAAATTATTAAAGTCATTTTTTGTGTGCTTGGCTCTCTTTTAGAGTGAATTATTTTTTAGTCTTATCTTAAACCTTGATTCATAGGCTAGAATCATCACTCATCTTGAGTTGGTCCATCTCTTAAGTAGCACATGTCATCTTTCTCATCTCTTCCATTATTTTTCTTTTTTCATTTTTGATCTTTTATTTCAAATCATTTATGTTTTTCGTCCATTTTATGCTTTTACAATCCATTGACTTTGTTTATTTTATTATTTTCATTCTCTTAATTGAGTTCATCAGTTTTTCTTTTTAGTTGAATATCTTGAAGTGAATATTAGCATCTAGATAACATTGTTAGTTTAATGTTTAGTGAAGATATTTTTGAAACTTATTTTAAATAACATAAACACAGACAAAATGTGTTCTAAAATCAATTATCTCATGTAAAAGGAATAGATCTAAAATTTTATTATTTCAAAAGTTATGATGTTTTTGTTTTTTCATATGAATTTATTCATGATCATGGGTATAAAATTTTCTTAGTATTTTTTTTTTCTTAAAAAGAGCCTAATAATATTAAAGTGAAGCTATATGAAGATCTTAAAGGAAGAAACCTATGACATGGTATGTACAAGGAGCTATCGTGATTTAGTAAACTGTTTTGTGAGTAAGTTCAAAATTCAAATAAAGTGTTAAGACAGGTTTAATACTTCTAGTGCACTTTTAGTTTTAATTTATTCATATCTTCGATGTTGTTATGAATTTTGATTGATATATATATATATTTATGATTGTGTATTATGAGATATGGGATTAGAGAATTTTATTACAAATGATGAAATATTAAAGTTCATATTATTGGTCTTTATATTTTTAATTACATTATATTATCTTATTTTTCGTGTTAAATATTTTTTATTTTAATACTTAGTGATTGTGTCTCAAAATGTTAATAGATGATTAAACAAATATAAGACTTTTACAAAAACTGTAACATCCCAAAATTATATAGTCAGGAACTATATAATAGAATAATTACATGTATTAATATAACAAAACAGTCTTACAGATAAGGAGATAATTCTCGCAAGTGGCCGAACGGCCTTACATAAATACACAAAAGTTTACGAGCGCTCAAAAAGGTAATAAGGACGAACGGTTTACAAAAATAAATACCGAACGTCCAACTATTCAACTATAGCAAAAGGGCGCTCGTTCTAAAACGGCCCGCTAACTTAACTAAGCTAACAGCTCACCGAACGTCCTACTGTTCAGCCTTCACTTCAACCTCTACCAGGTTCTCTTCAGCAATTAGTCCTTCTTCAAGTGTTTCCTCCAGAGAAGCATCTACCTCTGCTCACATCCACACGGATGATCATTGCAAGGACAAGACGGATACACATATACAGACAACACAATGAAAAACGAAGGGTAAGCTTATTGAATTTAATTCAAGTAAAACATACATTTCATACATATCAAACACATCAAATAAGTTACAACACATACGTTCCATTCATTCGTTAACTCAGTCAAATTCCTGATACTAGACTGACCGTCCGGACTGTATGAATCCTGTGTAGCTAAGGCGTTCGTGCACACAGGTGGAATGACTGGAATGCTCATCAGTCGCCACCTGAGGTTAGTTCGTTCTGTCCAAGTTACAGTTATGGACTAAGACCTCCTGCCATTCCCACACATGACATACTCCTCTCTACTTGAGAACGAGCACTCACGGAATATCAGGATGAACCACCATCTAAGCTTACCACGTTCATACTTTACCATTTCAATTCCATTTAAGAGTCGTTCCTCCCTGGAACGCTCGTTCAAAATCCACAATCATAATTTCAGTTCTTATAGTGTTCGCACATCATAATACTTCCTCTTAATAACATTTTCATTCTTTGTTCCACTTACATAAAATGACGAGCGTTCAATCCTCTTCATAACGAGGACGAACGTCAAAAGCGAGACCGAAGGATCTTCTTTTCCGAAGGGATAGAGCTGACACATTTTACATGACGAACGTTATTACAAATTTGAATCAGTTAAATGAACTGACTCTAGAACAATTCAACTTATACTTAGAATAATTCACTTGCCAAGATTCAGAGTCAATCCTACTGAATGAAGATACAGAAGACGAGTACTAAATGTACTAAGTACAATTTAGTTAGAATAAACCGACTGCCAGTAAATAACCGAACGCGGTACGCGAATTCACTGAAGTTTGGGACAACGCTATTTAAGTTTACGGACGAACGCTATTTCGGCTCGTTGGAAATTTCGGGAAGAACGAACGTTCGGTATAGGACCGAGGGTTCCTTTATAACATACGCATTGGGACGAGCGTTCGGTATAAGACCGAGCGCCACTTAGGACGTACGCTTTGGGTCGAGACCCATCGCTGATTCAAAATCATAGAAAATAGAATTTATATAAGATGAGAGGTTTACAGTCATGATTTTAACAAAATGGCTAAGTGTCCGAATGTAAAATTTCAAACTTCTCAAATTCTCACACAACACTCAGGATATCTACGTTTGACCGAACGCTCAAACGTAAGACTAATATAAGAGGGCGTTCGTCCTCAAATAGAATCCTTTCCAAATGAAAGGGTTCAGCTATTTCAAAGAAGTTAATGAGAATACCGAACGATCAAAGACCGTTTCGATAACGAACGTTCATTTTCATATAATTTCATATTCAAATTCAACTTACAGTAAACACACATTTTTCAGTATAACCTTCCATACATTTAATTACTCATCTCATAATATTTTCCATACTTCTCATGCATTATCTCATCATCATATCATACACCAAAATCAAATAACACAGATCATACTTAATAAAATTCACAGAACATTCATACAACACAGTACAACGCAAGAATTAAATTTAATAAGCTTCCCTTACTTGGATCAGAAGTGAACGTCCTAACTCAAGGTGTTTGGTTTGTCCACTACAGTTTTCTACCCTCCAAGGATCACTTAATTCTTCCAACCAGATCTAACCATAAAACCAAGAAATACTAAGAACTTAACCCTTCATGCTACCAGAATTTGGCTTTGCATGAGACAGAAAAACGTTCGACGAAGAAGAGAAACTTACCAGTTTCGAACGTGAACTTGTTCGGTTTACTGGAAAGCTTAGGGCGCCGGAATCTCTTCTACGGTCTCTGAAATGGAATCGGAGTAGAGAATGGTGAATTACAATAGAGAGAAGATGAGAGGTTCTAGAGAGAAGGTGGAGAAAATGGAGGTTGGATTTTCTGAGGAAGATGAAGGTGCACGCAGAGAAGGGAAGAATGTTTGAGAGAAATTAATTCCCTTCCCATAGTCAAACGGACGTTCTCTCTTGCGCTGACACCTGGCTTCCAATATTGAATTCAGAACCTTCCAATTTGACACATGTCAGAGGGGAGTCAGAGAATGTGAGTGCGTTTTAATGGCACCGCACGTGGGGCGTGGGTGCATTAATGGAAGCAAGGAGGTGACTCAGCACCGTAATAAATGAGACGTGACAAAAACAAACATAAAACACTTAAACTAATATTTTTGTGTTATATTTACTTCTTACCATGTTTTGAAAAACACATTACATACATATAGATTTGTAAACCCTTGTAAGTATGTTTAAATTTAATTATTTTGCATCTAACAACCAGATAATGTATGCAATTGCTATTAAATAAAAATATTTCTTATTATAAAGAAATAATTATAAATATAAATACGTAAATCACAAACTTATTTTTCAATTTTAACTATTTATTTATGGTTTTATGTTATTAAATGTTTTAATCAGAAATGAGTGTATACGTTCAAGGTGAAATGAGATATGCCTTCAAGATATGGATATCATATTATTTGTTGAATATCAAAACCCATTTGCAAAATGTTTTTCAACATTCAAGTTAATAAGAACTTTTTTTTTTTTAGAAAACAGAAAATATATAAGTGTATTTAGTAAAAAAAGTGAGTGAGTTATCATTTATTTATAATTCTTTGTCACAATAATAAAAGGTTAAATTAACAACCAAACTACTAAAACAACTTTGAGATGTTCCCCTTTCTCTTCTCAATGTGATAGATGGAGAGAATCAAATAGCATGTTCATCCAAGACTACTACAGAAAAGGGATGCAAAATACCACACTGTAGATTCTGCCATATTTTATCTAATTAGTTAGAAAACAGAAGCTGCACAAACTTATCAGTAAAAGGATGGTATGTTACATAGTAAATATGAAGAAAGAAAATGATACACTAAGCAAGACAACTGATTTTACCCACCAAACAAGTTTCTCTATTTTCTAGTTTTAACAACTAAAAACAGTTTTTGAAAATGAAATTCAAGCATACCCCAGTTTTTATTTTTTGGTATAAGCATAACTATGGCCAGTAATAACATCACTTTTAAGGCTAAGGTTGTTCGTTTTCCTGCCACAAACACGATAAGTGGTTTTATTCCTTTTCATATAAGGTAATTGAAATGTAATGAAAACAGTATCAATCTGAGAGAAGTCAACTGCATTTGTTGCAATGACCTCTTTGATAAATACAACTCTTTAACAGTGACAGAAAGTAGAAAGGACAATACCTTGCTTACATTTATGCACTTGTAAAAAAGAAATGATAAGAATAGAGACTACTAAGTTCATATATAGGGAAATGAGGATTGCTCTGAATGTTTCAATTTCAAAGATTGCAATTACTATTCTCTCTATCTTCCCTTTTGACGACCATGTTCTGATTTTTTGCTTCTTGCCCTTTGAATGCTGTTCTTAGAATCCAAGTCCAACTTGCTGCTTGACATTCTCTCTTCTTTAGCTACCCTTAACTTTTCTGATCCTATCTCTTCAGTGTCTTCTCTTATAACCATCTTTCTTTCCAAATCCAATGCTAACTTAGCATCTGATTGTTTAGCTTTGTGTTGACCCTTTTCTCTATCTTCAGCATGAGAGGTTCTTCTTGTGACTTCTTCTTTGTTCATTAAAGACCTCTTGCCATGACTATCTCTAGTGACTGGTCTCATTTTTGCTCCTAGAAGTAGATCATGTGATTTTTGCAGCTTGGAACTAGTGGTTTCCATAGAATCTTTTTCTTGTTCAAAGTAGAGGAGCTGCACCACAGTTCTTAATGGCAGAGATTCATTTTTAACTGCATGTGCACGCACTTCTGGAGTCAGCCTTTGGCACTCCAGAGTCCCACACAAACGCTTTTTGTCTGCCTTGCTCAGGTCAGGATGCACCTGTGTATGCATTGAACATAAGTCACATCATGCATGCATCATAATAAGAACCAAAGTACAAAAAAATAGAAGTTGATCCTTAAACTAAAATTAACTTTTATATAATGTATTGATGTGAAAAGTGTGTTAGTGCATACAGTTGGCATCTCAAGGTCCTCAAAAGAGTGCTAAAATGATGAGCATCTTTATTAGTATGTAATACAAAAAGCTTATACATGTTATGTATGGCATAGAAATTCACCTTCAGATAAATGTTGATAGCCTGGTAAAGATCATCATGCTCTAGTCGGCCAATAGCTGGAACAGTTTCAGCCAGAGAGACAAACTTTGACACTGGCATATTATCATCCCTTGCCACCACTTGAAGATAGGAATCAATAAGCTTACCAACATTTCTGATTGATTTTAACAAGTGTCTGTTATCCACAGCACCAGGGTAGAGTCTTTTCCAAAACTTCAAGAAACTTTCCAGCACTGCTTGAACTAACTCGGTGTCATAAAAATTTTGGTCCAAAGAGGATGTTGAAGGACAAAGCAGGTCACTCACTGTTGCCTCCTCAAACTGTATACTGGCTCTCTTCACCAGTTCTGTTTTTGTCACTGGGGAGACTCCAAGAGGGCCTGAAATGCTGAGGAGCCGTAACAAGAAGCCAGCTGAAACTGACCCTCTATCTGCGGGAATCATGCTCACAATTGTCTCCAGAATTTTTCTGTTAATCGCTTTGGATTCTTCTGTTATTGCTGAAGAACCAAGTGAATTTTTAAGCTTTGTGATGCCAGGTAGCCACTTACAAGCATAGACATGCAAAGCTTCACCAATAAGCTGTGGTGGGAGCACATATGTTGATCTAATAGCCATTATTATGCATCTGAAAAGATCTATGTTAAGATCAGACACATCCTCAGTCCACCAATCCTTTGGGACTGAATGATGCTGCTTTCTAGTATAACCAGGCCTTGTGTAGGTGTAGGACCATTTGACCTGCACATAATCATCCTTGTTAAACAAAAATATGTGTAGAGTATCTATCTGTGAAAATAATTTATGGTCTCTGTTCTTGACCTGGGGTGGGGGTGTAAGAATTTTCTCAATAATTGAATCAATGCATTTTCTTGTTATGCCAAGATTCTCTGACCACTCAGGTAACTTGTCAGTGGCCTGCAGTGCTGCAATAGAGTCCTTCCATCCTTCAAGAATGCATGAACTGAAGAAAGCCTCAAGTTTGCCTACAAAGTTTCCCTTCTCAATGGACTCATTCATTTGTAGGAGCTTAGCGGTGCAGAGTGCAGGTACAAAGTTATGAGCACTGATATTGATTGAAACTCCATAGCAGAACTTAGCACAGAGTTCAAAAGCATCTGCACCTCCGGGCATATCATGAAGATCTAGAGGAACATTCTCAGAATCACTAGAATCTGAGCAAAGTCTTTGTAGGAGGCCACATTTTGGAAGAAGCGAAGACTGCGGCCAACAAAAATGAATTATAGATTTAACAAAAATTGAGTTACCACTATCTTTTTGCACACATCGCACTCTATCTAATTCTTATACCTTGTGTAGCAGATAAGTAGTATCATTGATTTTTATCACAAGGTCAGCTTGTACATCTGAAACCAGACTCCTGCATTTAAGATATGTCAATACATGTTAGTTTGTGTAAACATAAATAGAGAGAGGGAGAATAGGTTGCATGCCACTCTTGGACCAAAGCTCGATAAAAATACCTGGTGGCTTGTTCAGTGTAGAAAGTATCAGGCCTTGTACCAAGTTTCATGAACTTCATATTTACTTATTGTGATCTATTTCCCAATGGTCAAGAAAAACCTCTACTTGAAAGCCTGAACAAATTCTGCATACCACAACTTTAATGATACTACAAATCCCATAAAGTGAAGGTTAAGATACCGTGCAATCGAACATAAAGAAAGATAGATAGATAGATAGAGAGAGAGAGAGAGAGAACAACAACACGTAATTTATAAGAAATCCGTTTTCATGCTTGAATTAAAAGGGTCATGTAGTAGTGGCAAACTCGAAAGACATGGTGAACAAACATGCTTGCTCGACTTATATCATGGTTCTGGTTCATGATTATGCAACATTCAATCTAAGAGGTGGAGGAGAGTGAAGAAATAGCTATAGATGAAGGTCAAAGACCAGGACATGAACTCATTTGATACCATGTCATCCCCATACTACTATGTGAGAGAAAAATCAGAAAATAAATGAGAAGAAAAGATATGCAAGAAAACCTTACCGAAACTTTCATATAACAATGCCCTCACAACCTCATTTATTTGCGTATAATTCTGCAAGAACTTCAATTTATAGATGTGGTGTTCTCATCTGCAGATCAAAGGAAACAAGAAACAATCAAATCCAGCTTTTGTCTATATGCACTGAGAAAAAGTATGCAGAGCAGTAACTATATAGAGGTGTACTACTTATGCTAGATGACATGCGTTGATGCAAGTTTGTCTCCACTCTAGAGCCTTTGGAAATTATTTCCAACTTCACGCTAAATTAAGCAAGTGAAGCAAAATGATTAAAATTAGGTGGCTGTCGACACTCTAATTGAGTTAAACCAGGTTTCAGATCTTTATGCCCACTGTGCCAGGTCCAGACATGTAACGACTGATAAGAAACTGAAGAACTCTAAAATTTGAGTACTGATGAATGCGTGATGACTCATTACGCTATGCAACTAATCTGAATTGGGCTGTTCAAGTTTTGAGAAAGGAAAATCTATGTCAACCAACAAGAGAAGCACAAGGAAACTGATATTGGAAAATACTCATATCAACGTTCCCTTATAATAACATGACTGCTACTGAAGGCCCTGTGCCGACAAAGTAGTATCCATTTGATTTTGATTAGAAGTGAAGTTTCTTTGTCCTGTTTCTACCTTAATAGTTATAGCACATGGTTGTTCAAGAGCTTTGTCTCTAAGGCGATCAGTTGATATCTTAAAAAGCCACCCTCTATTATAAGTTATACATACCATTTGGGCAAATATTCAAATGATCTTAAAGGGGTTTGTACCAAACTCTCTATTTATGTCTGCATATATTATTTTCNTTTCTCTTCTCAATGTGATAGATGGAGAGAATCAAATAGCATGTTCATCCAAGACTACTACAGAAAAGGGATGCAAAATACCACACTGTAGATTCTGCCATATTTTATCTAATTAGTTAGAAAACAGAAGCTGCACAAACTTATCAGTAAAAGGATGGTATGTTACATAGTAAATATGAAGAAAGAAAATGATACACTAAGCAAGACAACTGATTTTACCCACCAAACAAGTTTCTCTATTTTCTAGTTTTAACAACTAAAAACAGTTTTTGAAAATGAAATTCAAGCATACCCCAGTTTTTATTTTTTGGTATAAGCATAACTATGGCCAGTAATAACATCACTTTTAAGGCTAAGGTTGTTCGTTTTCCTGCCACAAACACGATAAGTGGTTTTATTCCTTTTCATATAAGGTAATTGAAATGTAATGAAAACAGTATCAATCTGAGAGAAGTCAACTGCATTTGTTGCAATGACCTCTTTGATAAATACAACTCTTTAACAGTGACAGAAAGTAGAAAGGACAATACCTTGCTTACATTTATGCACTTGTAAAAAAGAAATGATAAGAATAGAGACTACTAAGTTCATATATAGGGAAATGAGGATTGCTCTGAATGTTTCAATTTCAAAGATTGCAATTACTATTCTCTCTATCTTCCCTTTTGACGACCATGTTCTGATTTTTTGCTTCTTGCCCTTTGAATGCTGTTCTTAGAATCCAAGTCCAACTTGCTGCTTGACATTCTCTCTTCTTTAGCTACCCTTAACTTTTCTGATCCTATCTCTTCAGTGTCTTCTCTTATAACCATCTTTCTTTCCAAATCCAATGCTAACTTAGCATCTGATTGTTTAGCTTTGTGTTGACCCTTTTCTCTATCTTCAGCATGAGAGGTTCTTCTTGTGACTTCTTCTTTGTTCATTAAAGACCTCTTGCCATGACTATCTCTAGTGACTGGTCTCATTTTTGCTCCTAGAAGTAGATCATGTGATTTTTGCAGCTTGGAACTAGTGGTTTCCATAGAATCTTTTTCTTGTTCAAAGTAGAGGAGCTGCACCACAGTTCTTAATGGCAGAGATTCATTTTTAACTGCATGTGCACGCACTTCTGGAGTCAGCCTTTGGCACTCCAGAGTCCCACACAAACGCTTTTTGTCTGCCTTGCTCAGGTCAGGATGCACCTGTGTATGCATTGAACATAAGTCACATCATGCATGCATCATAATAAGAACCAAAGTACAAAAAAATAGAAGTTGATCCTTAAACTAAAATTAACTTTTATATAATGTATTGATGTGAAAAGTGTGTTAGTGCATACAGTTGGCATCTCAAGGTCCTCAAAAGAGTGCTAAAATGATGAGCATCTTTATTAGTATGTAATACAAAAAGCTTATACATGTTATGTATGGCATAGAAATTCACCTTCAGATAAATGTTGATAGCCTGGTAAAGATCATCATGCTCTAGTCGGCCAATAGCTGGAACAGTTTCAGCCAGAGAGACAAACTTTGACACTGGCATATTATCATCCCTTGCCACCACTTGAAGATAGGAATCAATAAGCTTACCAACATTTCTGATTGATTTTAACAAGTGTCTGTTATCCACAGCACCAGGGTAGAGTCTTTTCCAAAACTTCAAGAAACTTTCCAGCACTGCTTGAACTAACTCGGTGTCATAAAAATTTTGGTCCAAAGAGGATGTTGAAGGACAAAGCAGGTCACTCACTGTTGCCTCCTCAAACTGTATACTGGCTCTCTTCACCAGTTCTGTTTTTGTCACTGGGGAGACTCCAAGAGGGCCTGAAATGCTGAGGAGCCGTAACAAGAAGCCAGCTGAAACTGACCCTCTATCTGCGGGAATCATGCTCACAATTGTCTCCAGAATTTTTCTGTTAATCGCTTTGGATTCTTCTGTTATTGCTGAAGAACCAAGTGAATTTTTAAGCTTTGTGATGCCAGGTAGCCACTTACAAGCATAGACATGCAAAGCTTCACCAATAAGCTGTGGTGGGAGCACATATGTTGATCTAATAGCCATTATTATGCATCTGAAAAGATCTATGTTAAGATCAGACACATCCTCAGTCCACCAATCCTTTGGGACTGAATGATGCTGCTTTCTAGTATAACCAGGCCTTGTGTAGGTGTAGGACCATTTGACCTGCACATAATCATCCTTGTTAAACAAAAATATGTGTAGAGTATCTATCTGTGAAAATAATTTATGGTCTCGGTTCTTGACCTGGGGTGGGGGTGTAAGAATTTTCTCAATAATTGAATCAATGCATTTTCTTGTTATGCCAAGATTCTCAGACCACTCAGGTAACTTGTCAGTGGCCTGCAGTGCTGCAATAGAGTCCTTCCATCCTTCAAGAATGCATGAACCGAAGAAAGCCTCAAGTTTTCCTACAAAGTTTCCCTTCTCAATGGACTCATTCATTTGTAGGAGCTTAGCGGCGCAGAGTGCAGGTACAAAGTTATGAGCACTGATATTGATTGAAACTCCATAGCAGAACTTAGCACAGAGTTCAAAAGCATCTGCACCTCCGGGCATATCATGAAGATCTAGAGGAACATTCTCAGAATCACTAGAATCTGAGCAAAGTCTTTGTAGGAGGCCACATTTTGGAAGAAGCGAAGACTGCGGCCAACAAAAATGAATTATAGATTTAACAAAAATTGAGTTACCACTATCTTTTTGCACACATCGCACTCTATCTAATTCTTATACCTTGTGTAGCAGATAAGTAGTATCATTGATTTTTATCACAAGGTCAGCTTGTACATCTGAAACCAGACTCCTGCATTTAAGATATGTCAATACATGTTAGTTTGTGTAAACATAAATAGAGAGAGGGAGAATAGGTTGCATGCCACTCTTGGACCAAAGCTCGATAAAAATACCTGGTGGCTTGTTCAGTGTAGAAAGTATCAGGCCTTGTACCAAGTTTCATGAACTTCATATTTACTTATTGTGATCTATTTCCCAATGGTCAAGAAAAACCTCTACTTGAAAGCCTGAACAAATTCTGCATACCACAACTTTAATGATACTACAAATCCCATAAAGTGAAGGTTAAGATACCGTGCAATCGAACATAAAGAAAGATAGATAGATAGATAGAGAGAGAGAGAGAGAGAACAACAACACGTAATTTATAAGAAATCCGTTTTCATGCTTGAATTAAAAGGGTCATGTAGTAGTGGCAAACTCGAAAGACATGGTGAACAAACATGCTTGCTCGACTTATATCATGGTTCTGGTTCATGATTATGCAACATTCAATCTAAGAGGTGGAGGAGAGTGAAGAAATAGCTATAGATGAAGGTCAAAGACCAGGACATGAACTCATTTGATACCATGTCATCCCCATACTACTATGTGAGAGAAAAATCAGAAAATAAATGAGAAGAAAAGATATGCAAGAAAACCTTACCGAAACTTTCATATAACAATGCCCTCACAACCTCATTTATTTGCGTATAATTCTGCAAGAACTTCAATTTATAGATGTGGTGTTCTCATCTGCAGATCAAAGGAAACAAGAAACAATCAAATCCAGCTTTTGTCTATATGCACTGAGAAAAAGTATGCAGAGCAGTAACTATATAGAGGTGTACTACTTATGCTAGATGACATGCGTTGATGCAAGTTTGTCTCCACTCTAGAGCCTTTGGAAATTATTTCCAACTTCACGCTAAATTAAGCAAGTGAAGCAAAATGATTAAAATTAGGTGGCTGTCGACACTCTAATTGAGTTAAACCAGGTTTCAGATCTTTATGCCCACTGTGCCAGGTCCAGACATGTAACGACTGATAAGAAACTGAAGAACTCTAAAATTTGAGTACTGATGAATGCGTGATGACTCATTACGCTATGCAACTAATCTGAATTGGGCTGTTCAAGTTTTGAGAAAGGAAAATCTATGTCAACCAACAAGAGAAGCACAAGGAAACTGATATTGGAAAATACTCATATCAACGTTCCCTTATAATAACATGACTGCTACTGAAGGCCCTGTGCCGACAAAGTAGTATCCATTTGATTTTGATTAGAAGTGAAGTTTCTTTGTCCTGTTTCTACCTTAATAGTTATAGCACATGGTTGTTCAAGAGCTTTGTCTCTAAGGCGATCAGTTGATATCTTAAAAAGCCACCCTCTATTATAAGTTATACATACCATTTGGGCAAATATTCAAATGATCTTAAAGGGGTTTGTACCAAACTCTCTATTTATGTCTGCATATATTATTTTCTGAGAAATCATATTGGATAAAGCAACAGCATGATTTAAACTTGACTTAAATTATTGCATATACCAGCATCTTTTTCCTACTCTAAATATCTCCAATGCTTATTGGAAAAGGTGAAAAGTAAAATCTCAATAACTACTCTAAAGCATATAATGCAGAAAACAGGATAAATTTCGAACTTTCCTGCAAACTGCACAGCCGTTTTACATGTATAGCTTGGAAAACTATAGTGGATAAATATCTAGAACTAATACTTGGCTGCACTGCTCAATTTGATTTTGTAGAAGAAAATCATCCTTACATCCAAAACTAACTTTAGGAGTTTCTTGTTGGACAAATCCGAAAGGTGAATCTCCTAACTGATGCATACCTACTTTTACTTTGGTGTCAGACCCTGGTATACAACTTTGTATAGCGACCTATCCGAATCAAGCTACATTGAATCTCCCAACTGATGCATTCCCATTTCATTACCTTACTAATGTTCCTAGAGTTTTTCTTTTCTGGTATTCTAGAGGAAATTTGGCGGTATGTGATATTAAATACGACTCAGTGGTTTCAATTACTCGTACTTGGTCCAATTATTTATCATATAAGATAATGGTTTATATCTACTGATGGAAAAAAGCACGAGTAGTTTGTTAATCGAATGATAAACATTGGTAAGCAATAATAAAAACACAAGCAACCAAGTAAGTAAAGATATAACATTATTTCCTTTTTACACTCCTCTGAAAAGTATATATTGCCCCAATTCTCAAATAAATGTCACTTCAGCAAAAAATTGTTCTAAATGATCTGTTGTTTTTCACTGCCAAGCAAAAATTTATTTCCTTTTTTCCTCACCAAAATTCCCTTCTCCTCCAAGAGCATAAATTAACACCATTTGCTTTCAAGAAAATGACAATACTTTCCTGTTCTGGTTTTTTTCATAGTTTTTTAGAACAGTTATTCGTTTCCTATCCTTGTACAGTACTATAAAGTGACACTAATTTGAGAATGGGGTAATAAACATAGGTAAAATGAAAAAAAAAATGACAGAGAACCAATTATATAAACAGAAGCACACAAATAATTAATATGCTGAGAGACTTTTCAATATTTTGTGTACTGATGAAAACTCATCCAACCCACCCAAAAAATTATATATAAAGAAAAAAGCTGCAGCATCGAAAAAGTTGCCTTTATACAGCAAAACATACATGTTTTACGTTGATAGATGGTGCCTGAGTTGTGAAGTTGAAAATTAACTGTTATGTGAGACCAAAAAAAAGATACTATAGCTTTAAAAGTGCCTTCCTGTTGGATCGTAAGGGTATATAAATCCAAAGCAAATATGGACCAATACACACAGCTACCTTTTCAGAAAAAAAACTATTGATTCCACATATACAAGGATGCATGATTATGTTAAGAAAATACTAGCATGGAAATCCGAGAGAAAGTGATGCACCAATCACATGACCACTGACCAACAGCTTCCTAAGATAATACAAATGTCATCCATGTATAATTTTTGTGAGGCTACCTAGCTCAGCCGCTGTCATTGTGTATCCAAAGAACTTACATATATATAAACTAACATAAACCTTCTTTTTTCTATTGAAAATTATAATTGGTCAGATTGGTCATTATCCAAAGTTTGGTGTTCTCAATTATCCTACCCTTTATTAAGTACATAGGAACCAAGAAAGACGGACGACAACTTTTTCTTTCTTCCATTATTTCTCTTTTTCTTCCCAATTTTGTTCATATAATAGCTGAAAGAGCACAGCATTATTAGTTCCACAAAAGCAAGTTTTTAGGCAAGCTTCATATACTATAAGGGAATTAAAGAAGAACTTATATACAATGCTTCTGAAAGTTGAGGACAATAGTGCTATTTCTGTGAGGCCTTTTCCACCGTTCATTTGTTAAAATCTGGCATAGAATTTGGTCTGTGCTTTCACAGACAAGTGGAGGCAAAGCAAAAAGCACCGTGTTTGTAGCACAGCACCAATTGCTTTCAACAAGACACAAAAAAAAGGGCTTCATGTGTTTTTCTTCCAAATAATATGGCATCAGAATCTTACAAGGCACTATTTTCTTAGGGGTAATAACTCTCACAGATCCCAATTTAATGATCACCGCCAATACTCAGAAAGTGTATAGTTAATTTCAGCTGCCTTTGCTCAACACAGAACCATTGACATTCCATGTTTGATTCTTTGGTGGCATTTAGCTAATTATGTGGCTCTTCTCTTCTCCAATTGATAAAAGTTCTCTCTACTAGTCACTCTCCTCTCACCCTTCACAAGAAGGTTTTACCACTTCCTTTTTGTCTTTTTTCTCTTGGATTGCTTTTTCAGAAAAACAAATTTATGTCTGACAAAAGTGCTCTTCGTCTGTATAACATAATGAAAAAGGTTTTTAACTGGTTGTGAAGTGGCAAGTCAACCAGAAATGCTTTAATAAAAAACGCTCCCTACTCCCTAGTTATCTTCCAACGCTTTCACAATTAGGCCTCTCATCACAGTACTAAGCAAATGCTTTGGAAATGTCCAAAGAAATGTAAAAAGTAAAGAAAGCAGAAGACGTACCCGTGAACACATCATTGATGTTAGTTGAATGATATGAACCAGAGAAAAGCATTCACAACTGAAAAAGCTGCAGTTCCGAAGCAACTGTACAAAACGAAGAAAGTAGATGAAGCAGAAGCAGAAGTTTTTGAAGTAAAGGTAGGCAGAGTAGAGATATGTGGTGGCCTAAAGTCAGAAAGAAGCATATATGCATGGACATGTGAAGCAGGAAAGTGAATGCTTTACTAGTTTCATGCAAGTAATCCTCAGAGACAAAGAAATAGAGAGAGGGTTAGGCTATAGTTGAAAAGGCTCTTGTAGAAGCAACCAGGGAAGGCACCAACACCAAGTGAAGAAAAACTAGTAGCACAATGTCTCCTTACCAAGAGTGCTATAGAGTACAACATTGAAAAGAGAGAGAAGGAGTGGTTCGTTGGAATTAGTCAACATAGTAATGCATCAAAAGCATGGCATGATATAGTCCTTTGAATAGCAAATGAGAGAGACAGAGAGAGAGAGGGAAAATTGAAAAAGAAGTCTTTCAGTCTTCACCTCAACAGCTTCAAAATTGGTGCTGTATGATTAAACCACAAAAAGCATGCAAAGCAAGTGGGTTATGGCATTGGAGTGCTCTCCTATACTGATTGAAAAAGAAGCTTGTAGTGGGACCTAGTCTCAACATAGGTGAAAGATACACTGTGCATTCATCATCATGCTTCCCCCCACTAAACCTTGGGATATTCTTCTTCGATTAGGCCTATGCTTGGGCCACCCTTGTGTGCATGTTGCCCACGTGTCCATTTCTCTGCCGTTTGTTACATCAACCCTCATCAGATTTTCCTCTGACTTCTCTCTTTTGCCTTCTTTTCAATGCCAAACACAGACAAACCTTTCTCTTTCTCATCCCCATTCTCTGTCACTGCATGATTTTATTTTGGTAAAAACTTGCATCCATTTTTCTCTCTCAGGCTGCTATAAGATATTGATGCATGAGAAAAAAAGTCTGTTCATTACTATGCTGATCTTTAACATAAATCTGACCACACGTATTACTAGAATAAAAGTCTAATCTTAAATGAAAACTAAAAGCACCCATAAAAAAAATTGTCTTTTTATATTTGGTTAATGATTCATGTGTGAAAGCTTCTTCTCTCTGCTCCTGTTCATTAATTCATTCGTGCATGGAGTGTTGAGCTCCCCACTGGGGTCCCCAGATGATTTTATTTGGTGTCATAGAGAAGGACAAGGGACCCCTCAGCAATCCCTTCCGCTGAAAGAAGATGGGGTAACCATTATCAAAAAGTCTTTAATTAGCACTAAGAAACAACAAGATAGAGAGCAAAAAACTTAATGCTTTGGTTTTGGTGTCAATCTTAACAGCTAGCTAGCAGAATGTGTATACCAACAAGTGGGTTTAGCAAGAACATAGTCAATTAAGGACTCAACTTTTAGTGAAAAGAAATTATTATTGAAATAGAAAACTAATTCCTTTTTCAGTTAATTATACAAACTCTTGTATTGTTTTTCTTTACCTGCATAAACTAGTTTATGAAAAAATAATTTTTTTTTATCTAAATGTGTTAATGAAAATATCTAAATATTTTTGGAATTTCATTGTATTTATTTTTATCTAAACGTATAATTATTGTTTGCGTCTGAAACTTATGAAAGAGATGCATGTGGAGGAAAAAAAACAGGGAAAAATGAGAAGAAAATGTAGAAAGATAAGGTGAAAGCAATATATTTGGTTGATTAATTTTTGGTCAAGTCCAACCCAAATGATGTTATGACTAAGGGATGATGGGATTGGAATGATGAAGATGATGATCTGAATAACACATGATCATGATAACGGTGATGATTATCTTGAATTTGTTTATAGTTTGTGAATAAGATGTTGGTATTATTGTACAGTGTCCAAAGCGATTTACGAACCGACCATGTGACTTTCCATGAAGATTGTCAGTAATTTCTGTGCGAATCCATGCCAACCTGTGTTGTTTATTGTGCATGCACCACTTTAATTAATGTGCTTTTCTTTTCTTTCTGACCCTCCTCAAATTTTTATATATACATACCCTTTTCATTAGTAATAGTGATTTAATTCTATACACATCAAATTAAAAATCGTATTTGTAAAGTTAAATGTCTTTTATTCTTTTAATAATTTAAGTATTTTTAATTTAGATTTTATTAAAAATTATTTACATAGTTCTATTTTTTTATATTTTTAATTGAGTTTTTGTTATTTAATTTTTTGTTAATTAAACGACAATTTTGTTATATTATTATTTTATTTTGTTTATTTATCTCAACCTAAAAAAATTTAAGATTTTTTAGTTGATATAAAAATAATATTAATATTAATATAAATTTATAAATAATTGTTATTATTCTTCTTTGAAAAATTTTGAATAAGAAGATCTTTATGTTGGTAAATAATTTTCATGTCATCAATTAATAATAAATTATTCCATTATTACATATTATCTTTATTATCAAAATAACAAAAGTTAACCGTAAATTTATATTAAATTACCTTATATTAATTATAGAATCTTATCACTTAAAAAATAAGTAAATAAGTTGACGGAATAAGATAATATACACGTATCACCTGATTCAGAAAAAATTAAAAGAAAAATCAATTAAGAACTATAAATTTAAACACTTAGATGACATAAATATTAATAAAATTCAATTAAAAACCCCTAAATTTACGATATAGTTCATTCCTAGTTTTTCTATTTTAATTTATAGCAAATAAGCAAACATATCAAATTAGGAAAATAGTAAAGTTTAGTGAATTAGTACGTTAATACTCAATGCCCTTCCAGCTGTCTTCCTCTCACACCTTCAATTTTCTATGGTCTTATCCTTCACATATATATATATATATATATATATATATATATATATATATAGAAAACCCTTCTTTTATACAAGAAGAATTTCATTATAAATTGTTTTAAACATAAAATAAATTAATCTAAATAATTATTAAATTAATTTATACCCAAACTATCTTCTTCGGCACTAGTTTTGAATTTGACAATTATTAATATATACAAGTCTCTTTTATATATATACACGACTTTCACTAAAAGGAAACTTGTAACTTTTTTGTTACATCAATTATTGTTGATATTATGAGATGTTACAACAAATCTATGAAATCTAATGCTTTTAGCCTTTTACAACAGCTTCATGCTTCCATATCTTCTGGTTTAGCTTTTTCTTTTTATTTTCTTTTATTTTGTGGATTAATTAATTACCCCATTTTAGATCTTCCTTTTCATTACTTTTTATTTTATTTTACCCACGCAGCTTCTAGCATATAATAACTATCATAATAATTATTATTATTATATTATTTATTATAACCTAAAAGAATATGGTAATTAAGTATAAATACATTAATGTATATTGGTGGGGAAATAAATGGCTAAGGTTCTTACCATTTTCATACATAATATGATGACCCTTTTCTACAATGATGCAAGTGTAGACATGTTTTGACACTTAAAAAATAGCATTTAATTATTGATTATTATGTCTATATTTATGTGAAGTGGGAGATTTTGAAACTTGACATTTAATTAATGGGTTGCTTTGATAATTTGTGAAGATACATATGGTGAGGCATGGGGCATTAATTAATTGGTAAAGATTTTATCAATAATGGCAATGATATATGTGTAAGCCTCCAATTAAAATAATACAGCTATGGTCAAAGGCTACTTCATCATAATGGGTCCCACTAATTGGAAGCAAATTAGGGTTTTCTTTTGCTACCCATTTGAGCATACAAGTAGTTTAGTGCACAAAAGAATGTTTGACAAGGCACAAAGTGATTAATTATATTCTTTTATGTAAATAATTAACAATTTCTTGAAACAATGCATTCCAAGCCATGACCAATAATAAAAGATGTACCCCACATCTTAGGCTTCTTTCGTTGGTTCTATTCGAATTGATTGTATGTTAGGTTTCCATGAGATGCTATTTGTAAAGAATTTCTTCATTTATTAGTTGGTTTGTTTATGAAACTATTTATCCTTTGATTACTTTTAGAATACATATAAATTGTCCTAATGCAACCATAATAATTATAGAAAATCTATTAAATAAATTCTAGCATGAGTACTCAAACTTTGATTTCGAAATCTATCAAAACTTTACAATTTTCGAAGTTGAACGGAAAATAAGTTAGGTGAATGAGATTTATGTCTTTTTGATATTGAACTCTGTGACTTTTGGGATGGAGTCTATAACTAATCGACAACCATACAAACACATAATACAAGGAGAGGTATCTCATTGCATGCTCACAATATGAAAAATATGAAAATGAAGATAAGTAATAACAAAGATAAGCATGCACTTAATATGCATGTCATTGATCCACAAGCTAAACACTCTCATAATATATATATAGTTTGTTAACTTAAGTTATTTTTTCAGTTGATACATTTTAAGAAAGTCAAGTTTTAGTAAATAAAAAAATCTCTATTTATAAAAAAATCTCTATTTATAAAAAAATACATATAAACATATGGATATTTAATAATTTTTATTTTTAATTTAAAATAAAAAAATCAGAAACATTCATCTCATCGTATCTCACCTTCTTTACTTATTCAATTTGTTTTTCTCTCATCTTCATTATCTCGCTCATCTACACACAACAACTGAAAGCTTATCTGGTAATTAGATAGAAATGATGAGATGCTCCTTAGATTTTACTAGGAAAATCTAATCTTTTTATATCTCGAATAATAATATTAGGTAAAACATTTGACCATCTTGGTGTTGAATGAATTTTATTGTTATAACTTCCATCAACTTTTGATGGTTTTCTATTGTGATTGATTAACTTTTTACATACAATTTTAAGTTAAAAATATTTTTGATGTTGAATGTCACATTTTTTTTAATTTGAAACTTCTAAAAAAATGAGTTTTAATCTTTATATATGTAATTTTTCTTTTTTTTCTTATTATTCGTTGTTGTCAAACACTGTTGAGATTAATATGAACTTATTATTAAGTGTAAAATTCGTTTTAGAATTTATAGTTAAACATAGTTTTGGCTTAGGAAATTATCCATCATAAGTACAATTTGTTATCAATATGAAACATTTCTAAATTATTATTCATTTTTTAAAGTTCCAAAATTGCAACTGAAGTCTTTTTTTTTTTCAACGGAAAACCTGAACTTTAAGTTAGTAAAACTCATATATTTAGTTAGTAAATTTAGGACTAATTCCTAGTTGTACTTGATTTTTTCTAATAAAGAAAAAGTGGATTGTAGAACTTTTCGTGATTTGTTCCATATATCCAATTGACTCAACAAGCTTCTAGTAAAATTTTCGCCAAAACTCATTATTACGAAGCGATTTAAGATTATACCATGAATTTTCTAACTTAATTGAAGTTCTTTTTTTTAATCTCAATTGTAATCCCAATAATATAAATTTCAATCACTTTTAAAATGAAACAACAATACTTGAACATGATTTCAGTATTATATTCTTAATTATCAAAAAAAAATCTCAAGATGAACCGAATATAAAAGTCTATCAACAACACAATTTTCAAGATTATAATACTTCAGACATGGCTCTTTCTTAACCAATTCAATAGTTTAAAAAAGTCTCCTAATGACAAATACTAAAAGAGATATAACTAATTTTATACACTAAGATATATGAAATATTCCAAAAAGGATGAAAAATTATTTGAAAATTTATGCATACCTAAATCGCCAAGGCATGGTTCTAATGACTTTGTCGCGTGCATAATGTATCTAAAGTGACATTGATAATACCTACATAATTAAGAAATTAATATTTTACATAAAAGATTGTCAATGACTAAATCACAAAACGGAATCCATATATTGCAGAAATGTAAATGTTTACATGAAAATATATTACAATATAAATTATACAAACAAAATAAAATTGTCATTAACAATCAAAGATATACACATTTATATGTAATTATATAGTTATTTCATATGTATATTAAACATCTTCTTTTTCACATATTTACTACAAAAAGATGCATCACTATTTCAAATTGTTTTTATGTGTTGAAATATATAAAAAAAACTAGATGAAAGTTAAGGGTATAAATGATAAAAGAGTAATTAATTTTATTTTAAACTTTGAAAATATAAGTTTAATATGAAAAAAAAATCAATAATACGATATTTAAAGATAAAAATATGTTCATGTTAGCAATATTAACTGTAAAAAATATGATCTTAATAAGTAGTTTGATCAAAATAGTATGTATAAGGGTAAAAGAAGTGGATGGAAAAATACATTAAATG